ACGTTCATCAATGAAATTGCTAGACACTCTCAGAAGACTGACAGGTCTTGATTGATTTAACTGAGTCTGCCTGAATGGTCAGAGTCTGCTGGTAGACTCTAGTCTTAGTAAATCAGGGCCTAGGAGTCTGATTTCAATTGGGTGTAAAGCTAGGTGACTGTATGCATTTTTCATGCACTGATGTAGCATGCGCTGACGCCTCTGTTATTCCCAGTTTCTTCCACTTTGTTATAATACCCCTAACAGTTGACCATGGCTCATTTAGTAGTAAAGAAAGTTGCACGGATGGACTTATTGCACAGGTGGCAACCTATCACAGTACCACACTTGAATTCACTGAGCTCCTGAGAGTGACCCATTCTTTCAGAAATGTTTGTAGAAGCAGTCTGCATGCCTAGGTGCTTGATTTTGTACACCTGTGGGCATGGAGATGATTGGAACAGCTGCATATGATTTGGAAGGGTGTGCCAATAGGTTTGGCACGATAGCGTGCATATACACAGTTAATTCACAAGTCTTCAAACTCCATTCACTTTTTTTTCAATTTTGTTATGTTGCCACCAAATTAATTTTTTTTCCTCAATCTACACGCAATACCCCATAATAACAAAGTGAAACCAGAATCTTAGAAATGACTGAATTTAATAAGAAAAAAACCTGAAATATTACATGTACTTAAAGTAACACTAAAGCTAAAAACATTTTTTTTTACCTTAATCTATTCCTTGCATTAAAGGTTGAAAATGTTTTCTAGTTCTTTGCCCACTTCCATGTGAAGGGGAGAAAAGATCCAGCATTGTGCATGGCTTTTTATTTTCCCTTCTCTTTCTTCACACTGGACTGTAGCAGCAATAGGAGCCATTGGAGCGCACAGACATGGGGGACACAAAGAAGAGAAGCCAAGATCGGCAGCGAGAGCACCCGAAGAAAGGAAGATCAGGGCCACTTTGTGCAATACCTCTGCACAGAGCAGGCAAGTAGAACAAGTTTATTTTAATTTAAAATTTTTTTTTTTTACTTTAGTAAAGTATTCAGACCCTTTACTCAATACAAGTACCTTTGCCCGCAATTACAGCTTTGAGGCTTTTTGGGTATGACACATTGCACACCTGTCTGAGCTCTGCAGGCAGTTTCTTTGACCTCATGGCTTTTTCTCTGATACAGTACACATTGCCAGCTATAGGGCCTTTTATTGAGGTATGTACCTGTGGTAAATTAAATTGGACATAATTTTCAAAGGCAGACTCCAATCAAGGTGTAGAAACATCTCAGTAACAATCAAGAAATGGGAGCTAAATTTCAAGTCTTGTTGAAAAGGGTCTGAATACTTATGCCAGTGTTATATATTAGTTTTTCCTTTTTCATACATTTGCAAACACTTCTAAAATTTTGTTTTTACTTTGTCATTATAGGGTACTGAGTGTATATTGAGGGGAAAAAATGTAAATTGTAGTGTCAGGATACAACATAAAATTGAAAAAAAAATGAAGGGGGTCTGAATACTTTGTGAGTGCATTGTATATACACCCTAATGTTTTACCATTCAGTTCTATTTTAAACTGGATGTGTTTTACAGAAGGGGAGGATTCAAAAATTACTTTAATTTGCCATAATCTGACAGTCAAATAAAAAGTCATTAGAAAACATTTTTTCCAGCTGCATAAATACCTTAAAGACATCTTCAGAAATGTCCTTTGTTCACATTATGACAACTTCTCAATTATTGTGCTTGTTTGAAAGGCTGACAGTTTTTTTTAAGTTACTGTCCAGCCATAATTCCTGCAATAACCCAGCACTGTTCTACCTACATAACAAAATGAGGTAAGAACCAACAATGAAGGCTGCTAAAAATCCATGCATTTCATATAACTGACCTTTAGGCCACAAAGAAGCAACTAATAATCAATTTGTACCAACACCATATTAATGAACATTTGATTAGCAATGAGCACACTTTTTTCTCCATGTAGCATGAATAGGGGCTGTTCTTAGAGTATAGGATACATACACAGATAGAGATCACACACAGTTTTCATGCAACAATCTACGTATGCAATCCAAGAACAATGTAGACTGCAAACTCTGTACTAATAGCTGTTCAGATGTGAAGGGTATTGCTCATTACCTTGCACCCAAAGACCAGGTGAATCTGCAAATTGGACAGTTTTCTTTATTTCCATGTAAAAGTGCAGGAAGAACCAGAGGCATCCATAACCTCGATTAACAACTGAATGAACGCCTATAGTATATGCACATTTGGCCATATTTCAAACTAACAGCTTTGCCTAACCACCATGGTCATTTAGCTGTATGTGTACAGAAAGCTCCATTAGGTTAAATCCTTTTTGCACATAATTTAGAATATATGATCCATTCTCAAATGTAAAAAGACACAGCACACTCTTTAGATAAATGGACTTTATTAGATGTAGCACAGGATCCAGACTTCTTGAATCTGTAAAAGAACACATTTCATATGCGTCAGTATTGCATAGGAGGTGGATAACAAAAAAAAAAAAAAAAAAATTGTGACCACGCCCTAGCCTCTCTCAATCCTCCCAAAAAATAAAATCAAAACAAAGTAAAAAAAACAAAACAAAAAAAGCACACTAAACAGCAGTTGGTATAAACCTGAAAAGTTGGGAGATGCATGAAGGTCAGGCCTCACAAACTGTTTCACTATAATATGGCACACTCCAGCACAGATAATGAATTGCTATACTACATTTTCTGCCTTACTGAACCCTGTTGATGGATAAGTGTTCACACAGCTAATCATTCCACCTTATATGCAACTTATATGCAACTTGTATTTTCTGCACGCATACAAAAAAAAAAAAAAAAAAAAAAAAATCAATTCAAGACTAAAAGATTAGTTAAAATCCCAAACATGTTCTGAAAGCAGAGAGCCGGGAGAATAAACTAATACTTCCAAATGTTTGAATCACACAGTATATTAGTGCAATGAATTATGAATACAGTAAAATATTTTAAGTAGTTGTAAACCTAGACAATTGTACCAGTTGTTGGTGGGTATGTATAGCTGCAGGGAGCATATGATATCAAATCTCCACCTCTCAACTCTCCCAAATCCTAAGCAGGAGGGCTGAGAGAGACTAATGGAGACTTTTAGAGAGGTAAATTCACTGCAATAGTTATAGTATATTACAGGATGCTAGTGAGCTTGTTAAGGCTTACAACCACACAAATTACTCAGTTATTTGGTAAAATATAAAATGAGGTTACATGGGCAAACATGACAATCCTTAAAATTACATGAACTGGCAAACGTCAGTACCCACATTTTGCACAGGTGATACTTTAAAAGCTCCTTAACTGTTATAACAGGCCTAGAATTATTGCTCACTGCAGCATCGACAGCAGTTTGTAACGTAATCAATGTTTTTGTACATAGGTTCCCCCAAACACGTATACTTTTGTATGCGTGTACATAAGGGTGGACTCACAATTTTGGGAGGATTTTTTAGTGCTTGGTTTTAACCAGTTGCCGCCTGACCTATGGCCAGATGGCGGCCAGCCGAACACTTCGTCCCTCCAGGAGTACGCCATATGGCGTCCTTCCCGGAACACGCATTGTGCATGCCCGTGCTGTGGAAAGAGATGTCACCGACCGTGTACCTCGGACACGGCCGATGACAGATCTGTGTACCGGCGCCATTACCAGTACCATGTGACCTGCTGTGACTAATCACAGCAGGTCACATGACAGTTGTATACAATGGATAGCTTCCTTTCATGCCATCCATTGTATACAAGTGTGTCTAGCTGTGAATGGTCACAGCGATCACAGGCTGGGCCAATCACAGCTAATCAACAAAAAAAAACCTGAATGAATCGATGTCATTCGGTTAAATGCTTGCTTATAGCAAAGAAATACTTTGAAATAATCAAACTGAGTAAAAACAAAATACTGATCACTAATGTACAATGTTACTGTGGTAACATACTACTTTGGTCATAGTGAAATATGAAAAAAAAACAAAAGAGAAAAATGTAATAAAAAAAGTATTTTCCCCGTAATGTCACCATTCAGTGTCCCTAATCACCGCCACACCAGTTCTATGACTACGCTGTTGTACTGCACTGGTGACAGTATGTAAAAAAAATTGTGAAGTTATTTTTTTTTTTTTAATTTCATTTTCTGAAAAATGACAAAAAAATTACAACTTTAAAAACTCGCCATGCGTCTTATGAAATACTGTCTACTTTGCAAAAAGGGGTCATTTGGGGGATATTTGTCCTGTTCTGACATTTTTGGGCCTCGAAATTAGATTGGCTGTCAGTACTTCAGGATTGATCAATTTTCAGATATATCCCATAGTTTGTGAATTCAATAACTTTCCTACACACTAAACAGTAAATACTGACTTGGGTAATTTTCAAAGAAATGTAGAATACATCTTGCCTAAATTTACAATTTATTTGCTAACTTTTATAAACCGAAAAAAAGAAACTTTTTTTCAAAATCTCCAGTCTTTTTTTTTGTTAATTTAGCAAAAAATAAAAACCCCAGCGGTGATTAAATACCACCAAAAGAAAGCTCTAGTTGTGTGAACAAAATAATAAAAATCTGGTTTGGGTAGTGTTGCATGACCGTGCAATTGTCATTCAAAGCGTGAGCGCTGAAATCTGAAAATTGGCCTGGACAGGAAGGGGGTAAAAGTGCCCTGTATTGATGTGGTGAAACACTCTCTCCACTTTTTTGTTTTTAAATAAATCAGTGGGGACCAAAAGTTCTTTATGTGATAGGATTTTGCTATAACAAGTTATTTTAACAAGACATCAAGGTTCTATTAGACCCCTGATGTCTCACCTGCCTTCCAATGAAGCTGATGGCGCACAGAAGCCTCTGTGTTCATTCTAGATCGGGTATAATCAGTGAACACAAGGTCAGCCACCAGATCATTTCAAACTTGAAATCAGTTTGCTTGTCAGATTTGCATGCACTTCAGGGGGTGTGAGATAAATGAACTAACCTTTTACTCTTCAAGCTGCTGGACTGTTCCTTTCTCTGAGACGTAGATACCATCCAAGAATTTTCGGATATCTTTGTTCTTTACTGTGGTTGCTTGTTGGATCAATGCAGCTAAGAAAAAAAATGGCAGTAAAAAATGTGAAATAGCTTTCACTTTACCTGTGTATCACATGACAAACAATTACAACAAATTGTAAAGCCAGTTATATGTTGTGCAGAGCAGCATATAAATAAGAATATTTAGATATCACATAGGTAAGCCACACAATGAAGTACAAGTACAACATCTACACAAGAACTTAGGTGTCCGTTTATTAAGCAGTAGTAAATAGCCGCTGCTGAGTTCTCTGGCACTCTCAGAAGAGACAGCTCTCCTCTGAGTGCCTGTTTATGAAGTGGTGTGTTCGCTTCTCTTTTGCAAAACGGCTGCTATTGCTGTAATCTCATGAGATATAGTGAGATTACAGTAAGAAATCAGTAAAACACAGCGCCATCATCAGTTTAAGCAGCGGTAAAATTACCCCTGCCGAATTGGCCGCTGTTCCAAATGTTCCCAAATACACACACACACACACATATACATAGATCGATAGACAGATAAACACAACACAGCACTTTACAAAATTAAATCTACATTGCTTAAAAAACTTTAAAGGAACACTTTGAAAACACAGATCTCAATAGGGAAAAACATCATACTGGATATCTATACTGATATGGGTTGGGCAATGCGTTAGGAATGCAAGGAAGCCCCATCGTTTGAATTCAGTCCTCTGTAGGTTGATGGTTTTCATTTCCATTAAAGACCCTCCAAAAATGAAAGTAGAAAATGTATGCAGCAAGCTAGTCAATTTTGCTGAAATTTCATTGCAGCAACTCAAAATGGTACTCAGTTAGTATGGCCCTCACGTCCTTATATGCATGCCTGACAACGTCGGGGCATGCTCCTAATGAGACGACAGATGGTGTTCCTCCCAGATCTGGACCAGGGCATCACTGAGCTCCTGGACAGTCAGAGGTGCAATCTGGTGATGTCGGATGGAACAAAACATGATATCCCAGAGGTGTTCAATTGCATTTAGATCAGGCGAGTGTGGGGGCCAGTCAATGGTATCAATTCCTTCATCCTCCAGGAACTGCCTGCATACTCTCGCTTCATGAGGCCGGGCATTGTCGTGCACCAGGAGGAACCCAGGACCCACTGCACCTGTGTAGGGTCTGACAATGGGTCCAAGGATGTCATCACAATACCTAATGGCAGTCAGGGTGCCATTGTCTAGCCTGTAGAGGTCTGTGCGTCCCTCCATGGATACGCCTCCCCAGACCACACTGACCCACCACCAAAACAGTCATGCTGAACAATGTTACAGGTAGCATAACGTTCTCCATGGTTTCTCCAGACCCTTTTTACGTCTGTCACATGTGCTCAGGGTGAACCTGCTGCTCATCTGTGAAAAGCACAGGGTGCCAGTGGTGGACCTGCCAATTCTGGTGTTCAATGGTAAATGCCAATCGAGGTCTATGGTGCCTGGCAGTGAGCACAGGGCCCACTATAAGACATCGGGCCCTCAGTCCACTCTCATGAAGTCTGTTTCTGATTGTTTGGTCAAGACATTCACACCAGTGGCCTGCTGGAGATCATTTTGTAAGGCTCTGGCAATGCTCATCCTGTTCCTCCTTGCACAATAGAGCAGATACCGGTCCTGCTGATGGGTTAAGGACCTTCTATGGCCCTATCCAGCTCTCCTAGAGTAACTGCTTGTCTTCCTGGAATCTCCTCCATGCTCTTGAGACTGTGCTGGATGACACAGTAAACCTTCTGGCAATGGCATGAATTGATGTGCCATCCTGGAGCTGGACTGCCTGTGCAACCTCTGTAGGGTCCAGGTATCACCTCATGCTACCAGGAGAGACACTGACCCTAGCCAAATGTCAGTGGCCTCCACCTGTAAAACAATTCCTGTTTTGGGGGTTGTCTCATTGTTGCCCACCTAGTGCACCTGTTAATTTCATTAACACCAAAGAAACTGATTAACAACCCCCTTAGCTGCGTAACTGACCAGATCATTATCCCTGGAGTTTAATTTACTTGATGCTATACTCGGATTAATATAAAATGTTCCTTTAATGTTTTTGAGATTAATACATGCACACACAATGGGGAAAGCCCCCCTGCCATTCACAACACCCCCAAAACCCTAACGTAGTTTAGCCTATATATTTTCTAAACTACTTTAGGGTTTTGGGGGTGTTGTGAAAGTCAGGGGGGCTTTCCCCACTGTCTTAGCCCTGTAGGAAAAAGAAAATCTAACAACTTCCTTCCTCAGTACTCCAGCGATTCTCTCCTCTCCCCGATTCTCCACCTCTGGGCTGGAAAATCTGGGGGGGGGGGGGGAGAATTTTCACACAGATCGCCAGTGAAAGGCTGGCATCGCTCCTTCATAAACTGTTCGTTTGTGCCTGTCAATGACAGATTCTCCGTGTGATGAGATGAACAGCAGAGAACATGTTCTCCGCTGATCTTCTCGGTTTCAAAACCACTAATGTACCAAGATCAGCAGCGATCCTCACTGATCTGCTGCTGATCTCAGTTTCATAAATGGACACCTTAGACATGAAAAACTAGACTGATGCTACATTTAGGCATGCTTCACACCTATGCAGTTTGCTTTTGATCGGTTTCTGCAGCTTTTTGAGGCGTGTTTTTCACACTTTTGTGATGCATTCTGCATGCTTTTTTTGGACAACTTGGTAGGCAGATTAAAAAAAGCTCAACAATGCACTACATGCTTTTCTGCAGCATCTCCACTGAAGCTATTTAACCAAAAACACACTGTTTTGCATTTAATATGGTTCCAGCATTTGAAAAGGTCCAAATTTAGGCCTACTTCAAAACAATGAATTTTTGGGTGCTTTTTTGCAGAAATGCATTACAACCCATTTAACATGGTTTCCTAAGAGACACATTCACATCAACTTTTTTCAGCCCCTGCATTTCTGGAAAGTGTCAAATTGGCCCATAATGCAAGGTGCACCAAAAACACGTGAATACCATGCAGAAACGCACTGTAAAGACACAACGCACCACAAAACACTGCAGAAATTGATTAAAAGCAAACTGCATCTGGGTAGGACCCCAATAAGTCAATGTCAAGTGCCCAATTAGGAAAAAAAGTCTGTTACTGGCTTTTTGAAAATGCTAGTTGCCTGGTTGACCTAAGTACACAGACCAAGAACAAGCAGGGTGAATTGTAAGAAATCCTCATCCACTGTCAGTGATGGCATTGAAACCAAAGAATCAGCACAGTCAGAGCCAACATTCTCCAAAAGTATAAAAACAAACAGCAGCCTCTATTGTCTATTAGTTATTTCAAGGGTTCATGCATTGTATTGTGGATTAAGCTATACACCAAAACTAGAAAAAATTGCCTTCATGCAGATTTGAACTGTATTTTACACTTTATGCAGGTGAAAATTTGTCAAAACTGGCGTGCACACAGCATACATCAACCCTGTGCCACTGCCTAGCAAATTCAGAAGCAACGTGTATACAATGTGTAGGCAATGGTAGCAGCACAGGGTGACCTTCACATTCAGTCATTTTATGTCTATTACACTCTATGAATGTTTATATCTCCTTCTAAAAGCCATTGTTGTGGTGGGTGCAGATTCACGTGCTCAGAGATGTAAATATCAATCATGTGTAATCGCCGATGCAAAATGCACGTCTCAGCTCATACCGACATAAGTGTACGCCCTTATTAAGTTCAGTTGTAGTATGGAAAATATTTTAGGTAGATCCTGCCGCCTGCACGATCCTGTGCAAATTCATTCATGTAAATGAGGCCTACAAGTTCTTTCAATGTACACACGCTAATGTTCACAAAAGTTCATAATAAATAGCAATCTCAATAAAAGCCCCCCTCACCCATGGAGTAGAAATCAGCAAATAAGGCAATTCAATAGGGAGTCACGGGGATAAGAGTGAAATTGCCTCCCCCCACAAATAAGATGCAAAACTACGTAACATGTGTCGGCACCATATTGACTTCTACTTCCCAAATGCATGTAATGTAGCCGTTTACATCACCTCAGCAGGCAGGGACCCACATTTGACGTACATTTGAGTAGTGTCATTCTGAACTGGGGATTAAAGATTAAAGCAAGTGATTGCAGTGGTCTCAAAGCCCTGTCAATCACAGTAATTGCAATCCCCCCACTGAAGACTGTCCAGTCAGTGAATAATTCATTACAGGAACCAGGTGGATTGAAAACATGTGCCTATTTCATCAAACGTACTTCAGCGCTTTGGATTTTCAGAGATTTGCTCAATAACATACAAAGGTAACATACCAGAGTTTGAAACAAGCTCAATGTCATTGCCTTCAAGGATCAGCTCATCTTTCTGGGCTTGGGACAAGGCACAGTTGACACCTGCAAACAGATGAAGATCTCATTCAGCCTCTGTCAGCAAAGAGCACAGCATAAATCAAACATCAAGGGAATTATGTCATCAACTGCTTTCTATCAAAGAACATTTGACAGTGTTCGAGGTTAAGTTTTCATGTGCTTATCAATCCTGAGATAGAAAATATGTTTTTAGGATACATTTTCTCAATCAGATGTCTTCTAACAATCAAACCACACAAGTAGCCTATTGTAATTATAGTCCCTGGTCACAGCAGTGCGAATTGTCATGCAATTTGATCGTTTCAAATTGCATGACAAGTCGCACCCTATTGCCTGCAATAAGTGGTCAAATTTTGTAAAGTAGTTCATGCACTACTTTTTGCAGGTGTGACTTGCATAGACATCTGTGCATGAAGTCGCACAAATGTGTTCCAAGTCGCACTGACATCACTTTGAAATTGTGCAAATTCAAGTGAAGTCACACAATTTCAAAGTTGGACTCGGTGTGACTGAAGCCCTATAAGCATAAAGAGAACATGTCACTATAGAAACCTGGTACTGCCAATGTTAAGTTGAAAGGATATGCTGTGGGGACAAATTAAATGACCTGGAACAAGCAAGCTGCCAGTGAAGTTTTTCTTAGTCTGAATACTTGTTCCGGGCCACCTATTAAGCAGAAAAATGAATGAGATTGCAATCAGGAATCACAGGTTCCCCGGTATTTCCTTCATATTTCGGTCTAATCTGTTAAGGTTCATGCAATTTAGGATTCATAAAATATAAAGTTATAAAAGACACAAAGGTATATATCCAGGATGAAGACTTGACAGGTTTTCAGACCAATCGCTTGTTACTAGTAATTCTATGCTGCCATAATCTTCATAGCAAGCAAATTTTACTGCAAGTACTCATTAAGCAGTGAAAGATGACAGCCCGAGAGCTTGGACCAAACAAGACAGCAGTGGCACTTCCTGCATTTTCTATCATAAATTACCTTTCATCTAACAGTATTTCCAACGTCAAAAACGATAACGCAAAAGCTAAGATCCAGCCGCCAAACTGGTCACTGAGTGACCAGATTGACTGCTGAAACACTTGCCTAACAAAATGTATCATTCATTGTAGCTGCAGGAACTGTAGAGAAATTTATCTTGAAATTGTTCAAAAGTGGCACTGAATTCCTTCACTCCTCTCCCCTTATTTTCCATGGCAACAGGGACTGGGCCACCTGCCAATGTGAACACCAGCAACTGCAAGCTGTTAGAAACAGACAAACCCAACTTCAGAATCAACACCCTTGTGATCTTTGAGGATGAACTACTCCAGCAACTAGAAAGATCAGTTAGATTGTTTTAATGCTTTTACCGCTTGAGAATATGCAAAAACACCAAGGTCCATTATCAAGTGCACTTAAAAGTTAAAGCATTACTAAGGGCTGTTTTTTTTGCTTTCTTTTAATTAAAACATGTTATACTCATCTGTAGAGCTGAAGCAACAAATTGATTATGAAAATAGTTGTCAACTATTTTCATAATTGATTAGTTTGTCAGTTGATTAGTTGGCCTGCATACAGAATGCATTATTTTTTTTACGTATCAAAAGATACAGAGCAGCACACATACAGCTCAGTACATGGTTCTTACACGTCAGTATACACAGTGCAACGCACATACAGCTCAGTACACTGTCCATACATGCCAAGTGCCTGAGAATTTGTGAATGTGTGAGGAGCAATGCCTCATGGTACATGTAGTTCTGGGCAGAAGAAGGAATTCTAAAAAGGCAGAAGTTTATTTTTTACCTTGCTATAGGGGCACTCTATACCATACTTTGCAACTTATACCTTGCTATAGGACACTGTGGAAGCAGGAGGAGCCAGAAGTGCCGGTGGGGGACCCTGGAACAGAATCACGGCTGCTCTGTTCAAAACCACTGCACAGAGCAGGTGACAAGTTTGTAGTTTAAAAAAATCAAAGGCTTACATTCACTTTGAAGCGGAGTGCCACTCAACTTATCAAAACAAACGTCAGCAGCTACAAAAACTGTAGCTGCCGACTTTTAAAAAAACAGCCACTTACCTGTCCCCTGGTGTGTCCCCTGCAGCTCGTTTCACCGGCCGTCCTGTATTCAAGGAGGCCGGCATCTTCAGTGTGGGCAACCAGCTGTGATAGCTTGCCGCTTCACAGCCGGGTACTCACTACGCATGAGCGAGTAGCGCTGTGCTTCATGAATGGTCCTGTAGTCTTCTGGGACCTGTCACGTGTCCCAAAAGACTACAGGGAGGGAGGAGACCTTCCGCTTGTCATCAGCGCTCAGTTCAAAAGTGCATCTCTGATGGCATGGGGGTGCATTAATCATTTGAAATGGGCAGCTTGAGCAGGACAGGCACCATCAATGCTGAAAGATATATATCCAGCTTTTAGAGTAGCATATGCTCAGGCAAGAATGGAACATTCCTCTTCCAAACTGCAGCAACTGGTCTTCTTGGTTCCCAGACACTTACAGGGTTTAATGTTGGGTTATCTTGTAAATTTAGGGAGCACATTAGGTAAATCTTACGAAGGACCTAACCTTCACTGTCAAAAATAAAGTCATATCACCTTACATTACTACAGCTCTCGACAATTTTATGCTATTTACATCTTTTCAGAAAGAGGTTCTAAAATATATGAAACAGGTCTAGAGCTAGTTCTTTCCCCCATCAGAAGAGAAGCCACCTCACATACCTGGTCTCATGCGTACTCTGCGGATGTATTTTTCACCCAAGAAGTTCCTGATTTCCACCAGCGATCCAGTCTCCTGAATAACTACGTTAATGGGAAAGTGAGCGTACACCGATCTCATCTTGTAACGAAAACCCTGATCAAAAATAAAATCAAGCTGTATTTATAGTAAATGCTAGGAGGCACAGATCAAATTATTCAAGCACAACATATACCAGTAGTTTTTGCATAATACCTATTGAATTTCATTTTCAGAGGTTCATTTGAACATTTAAGAGGTCTAAAAAGCTGCTTTCCCTCACTGTAATTTTATATAGTAGAGTTACCATGGACTCTTCTGTGAACAAGTGACCGACCCTCTATTAGGACGGTACAACTTTAACCACTTCCCCGCCACCCTATAGCAGAAGTACTGCTACAGGGCGGCGTAACATCTCGTGTGTGTGTGTATATACACACATATACACACAGGATTTCATCTCCGGAAAGGGGTGCATGTGCCGCCCTATCCACACCGCCATTGGCAGCTACAGATGTGTATCGCTGGGTAACACTGAGAGGAGAGACACAGGTCTCTCTCCTGCCAGTAAGAAAATGCTGCTGTGTTTCTCTGCACAGCAGCATGTCTCCCTGGCAAAACACACACAGCACATTATGTAAACCAGCACACAACTAACCCCTTTGATCGTCTCAGATGTTAACCCCCTTCCTGTCCAGCATCAGTGCTTTTTATTAGCACTGATCACTATTAGTGTCATTGGGATGTCCGTGGCAGTAGGTCCCCCCCCCCCCAGTGTCAAGCATCCCAGTAACAGTTTAAGTTGCTGATTGCTGCCATTACTAGTATAAAAAAAAAAATCTCAGTATATAGATGCTATAAATGTCACGTAAACCAATTTACATGTATTGGGATTTTTTTTTTTTAAGCAAAGAAATGTAGCAGAATACATCTTGGCCTAAATTTATGACGAAATTTTATTTAATTTTTTTTTTACTGGTTATGTTTTATAGCAACATGTCAAAAATATATATATATATATATTCTTTTAAATTGGTTTTCAAAATTGTAGTTTTTTTTTATAACGCAAAAAATAAACACACAGGTGATCAAATGGTGCTCTATTTGTGGGGAAAAAAGAACAAATTTAATTTATGTACAGCGCAGCATGACCGCGCAATTGTCAGTTAAAGTAACGCAGTGCTGTATAGCAAAAAATGGCCTGGTCAGGAAAGAGGGTAAATCCTCTGGAGGGCAAGCGGTTAATTTCTCCAAAGCAGCACTGAACGTTTGTTCTAGCGGTTCATCTTTGCCAAAACTCACATCCATTGCTCTGTTGGGTTCAGGATTGTTCAACTCCAGTTTACCTACATATGTTAAGGTACAGAAAGGCAATGCAGAACACAATAAATATAGCTACATAATTCTAAAAACTATAAACTTACCAGTGTGACTCCCTTGATCATGTTTTGCACATGACTGCAGATTGTGCGCACTGTGGCCAGCTCCTTTCTGTTACCCCACCATTTGTCAACACGGAGCTGCAAAAAACACAAGCACTGAACAAAGTACCGTAGTAAAACATTTACTTCATCCCTGTGATGGGTGCACTAATACTCCTGAATACCCTTTCAACTCCTTTCAAGCAATACAATACCCCCCTTCCAAATAAAAACTCTTACGATCAGAACCAGACTTTCAGTTAACTTGAAAAGGGGTTTATGCCACTTGCTGCACAATGTTCCTTTAAATAGTGACAGAAAGCAGAAGAAATTCCCCCACTAGCTGTCACTAGAAGCTGTAGAACAGGCAGAGGTTCCAGCAGTGGGAACATGCTACCTGTTTCACCCAAAAACAGGAACATTTAACATGTTCCCAAAGGTGAACTTATCCTTTATCCAGTGGGGGGTGTCAATATTTCAAAATTGCACAAAATCCAACATGAACAATGTGCACAAAAAAACTGTATATGAAGAGATAAGAATCAGTAGGATTGTGTCCTGAATAAGGCTGACAAAGCCTTTAGCACCCAATTACACAACACACTGCACCATGAAAACATGTTTTCATGCATTGCAGCATGCAGTTAAAATGAATGGGCTGCTATTAACCTCAATGCACGACAAATGGGTCTTGCAACACACATCGTGCAAGGCATTGCACCCACCATGAGCTTGAGCTAGCCTTAAAAAGTGTTTATAATCCCTCCTTATATGCTCTCTTTTGGTCTGTTAAACCTCCCACTGATATCATGTATATGTGATATTTCTGTGATATCATGTGCAGGCGACATATCTTTATAGAGACAGAGGTCCATTAGACCTGTCTCCCCTGCCCTTCACTGTAGCTAAATAAAGTACAGATCATGCTTGATTAGCTGCTGTCTGGGCCACTGCAGCAAGGAACAGCTCTGAACCCAAAAGTAACTAAACACTCATTGTTTCTGGGTTCATTCACTGTAGCGATCAGGGAACGCATTTTCCTCCCCCACAAAGCTGCCCCTGCCCAAGTCCTCACACTCCGCATCCTAAAACCATTTACAGTAGTCCTAAAACCAAGGTGAGTGGCAGTCCTTGACAATACCATGAGGCCTCGTTTAGATGTGCAGAGTGGGGGAGTGGGAGTTAGTACAAATGTGCAGTTAAGCTATGTTTTTACCACCTGCCAACCGCCTCCCCTTAAGCTGCAATAGGCAGTGGATGGAGGCATTTACATGCCATTCAAGTGTATAATCCAAACGCACACGTTCCTGCATTAAAACTGGCTGTGTGTATAAGTGGGCGCTGCAGTGACCGTCGGCTGAAACCAAACAAAATCAGCAAGGAAAAAATGTCACCAGCACACCGAGGATCACCAATATGGGTCCAAAGGTTTTAATAAACGATCACATAGTTACAGCAAGGCAACGTTTCGGAGTCTCGCATGACCCCTTCATCAGGCATGTCACATGCCTGATGAAGGGGTCCTGCGAGACTCCGAAACGTTGCCTTGCTGTAACTATGTGATCGTTTATTAAAACCTTTGGACCCATATTGGTGATCCTCGGTGTGTGGTGACATTTATTCCATTTACATGCCAGGGTCACAATGCTTTGCACCTCAGCAAAATCTACCATAGTGATCGGTGGGTGATAAACACGACACATTCCAGTGAACAGAGAAGCATCAAACTTCCCACAAGCGCTTGCAATGCATGCGATTGCAGCACGTTAGATAAAAAGGAGGTTAAAAAAAGCCAGTGAGGCGTCATCACTTCATGACCTGTAAACCTCTAAAACGTGATCCGAACATGGATCATGCTTCAGAGGAAAAGTCTAAATCTACCCTAAAAGTATTTAGGCGGCTCTATAGCCTAGAGCACTTACTGAACAGCCAGAAGCTGAAAGTTTAAAAATACCAAGCTCACATCTGTAACTGTGGAAATGAGCTTTTTCTAACCACTTGAAATTCAGGCTGTAAATAAATGACCTATGAACAGCAAATAGTTAAGTCACCTATAACACGTCAAGAGGTGCAGCACTTACCCTCTTCTTCTTTCTGCCCAGTAGAGACAGCTCTACATTTATGTGGTTGAAGTTCTTCTTCAGAGTTCCTCTGGGCCCCTTCACAGTTACTGTGCGGCCCTTCAAGGAAACTGCAACTGTTTAAGAGCACACAATTGTTAGAATTAAGTATACCCAAATAAAATCTACAATGGTACACAAAGATGGTCTAAATCAAGTGCAGTTAAGACACAAGACACCTACCCTTGTCAGGGATGTCAACAGTCTGGTTGCTGAGAATGGTCTTCATTCTGTAGGGAGAAAAACAAAATCTATTACTCTCTACAGACCTGCATACTGCCAAAATGCAAACTACTATTCAGCAGGCATTGGATAGAGCCAGGTCTCACAACATGCTAGCCTGACAAAATGTTTAGCTCCTTCATGGGACCTCTAAACTACAGGGCAGAATGCAACCCAGAAATTCTAATCCACGGGTGTCAACTGGTGTCCCTCCAGCTGTTGCCAAACTACAAGAACCATGAGGCATTGCAAGATTGACAAGCATGACTCCCAAAAGCAGAGGCATGATGGGACTTGTAGTTTTGCAACAGCTGGAGGGCCGCCAGTTTGACACCCTGTTCTAACCAAAGACGAAAAAGGAAAACATTCAGAACAGCACATCACACATGTCAAAAACATGCCATCCCCTGCGATGCATTATCACATCTCTATGCCATACTGTTGATCTACCAATAATTTCTGGTTCAATATCTGCACCTTTACTCAAATTCTGAGTGCCATGTGTGCAATTAGACATAAGCCATACAACACCATAAGAGATGTCAACCATTCATTCAGCATTGTGGAAAGTTACTGCACAACTGCTCTGTGGAAAGCTCCAGCTACATACCGGCACAGTACCTTGCAATGTTAAAGTGATAGTAAACTTTTTTTTTTTTTTTTTTAAATGGACCCCTTGGCGTGTTATGCCATAATGTGCTAATAGGCAAGTCTCTCCCATCCCAACCCCAACATCCTGGGACAGGTCCCTGGAGGATAGGGGACCATTCAGAATGCACAGCACATCTCATCCTAGTGCAGTGGGGAACTAGTTGTGAGACAGCTTCTCAAGCTCAAGATTGCCATGTCAGGGACCCGAAGACAAATGAAGAACCAGCCTGGGTGAGGACTCTGCTGGATCCCTGGGCTGGTGAATACCTGTTTATTGTATGTATATTAACCATTTCACATACCCTACAACATTATGTCTAGAGAAAGATTTAACCTCCAAGGAAAGGCTTCTTCACAGTAAGAGCTGTGAAAATGTGGAATAGACACCCTCAAGAGCTGGTTCTGGCCAGCTCAGTAGATGTTTTTACAAAAGGCCTGGATTCTTCCCTAGATGCACAAAATATAACCGATACATTTATAGGTAAATTAGGATCCGGGGAATATCCGTCTGCCTCTTGGGGGGTCAGGAAGGAATGTTTTCTACTGCTGGGAGCAAATCAGATCATGCTTTGAGGATTTTTTGCCTTCATCTGGATCAACTTAGTATAGGATTGTGGAAGGACACATTTCATGTCTGTACAGTGTTGCATGACCGCGCAACTGTCAGTTAAAGTAACGTAGCGTTGCAACGCAAAAACTGATCTGGTCAGGAAGGGGGGGGGGGGGGTAAATCTTCTAGAGGATAAGGGGTTAAGCCTAATCTAACTAGCCCTGTAAAGTAAAAAAATCACTATACTTAGGCTGGCCATACATTATACAATTTTCTTAAGAATTTTGTTTTAGATTTACCAAAAACCATATAATACGAGGCCAAACCTAAACAACACTTTCAATTGTATCCAATTAGGCAGGACCTTGCACTACATAGAAGGTAAATCTAAAGGAAATTGGGCAGAAATTGGACAGGAAGTTGTATAGTGTATGGCCAGCCTTACCTGTTCTGCAGCCGCTCTGGTCCCAGGCTGAGCTGTCAGCGGTGGTTTCAGGGTGTAGGAGAGGCAGCTGACAGCAGAAGCCCCATAGTAATGATTGGTTGTCATCTCCCAGCTGTTGTGGGATTCCTCCTGCACAGAGGGCGCCACCAGAGCAGAGCGGCTGCAGAACAGGCCAGCATAGCGATTTGTCTTCAGGGATGGATGGATTTGGCTCAGAATGTGACCGTAGTTCGGTTCTGCCGTCCCTTGCACATTAATACACACTGTGAGGCATGCATGGTAAGACCCCAATAAGAAGGGTGACAGGCAAGACATAAGACCCCACAGAGCAGCCAGCAGGGTCCCATAACATGTGCTGTGTAGAGCTCACACAGCCCAGCATGGTATTGTCCTGAGCCCAGGGGTCAGTGTGGAGGGAAGGGGCCCTCTGCTGCTGAGAGCCATCCCCTGGGAGAGCCCAGCCATCCTGGGGACATCACAACACCCAGCAACCCCCCAGCAGGTGATGGTCTGTACACAGAGTGCGGGCACAGCTCCCTGCCTACAGCCAGCACAGGCCAATCAGTGTGTAGGCCGGGCAGAGGACACGACTTCAGTACAGACCGCACCGGGCCGGCCTCAGCCCCATACTCGCTCCGTTCTCCTCCACATACTGTGCAGCCTATACTCTACTCCCAGCCGGGCTCTGCGGAGACTCTATACACCGGGATGGACATGGATTTCCCCATCTATCGCTCCAGCCGCCGCCATCTCCTTACCTCGCTGCTGACGGGGAAAGGGAAGGCGCGTGTCGTCATCACGTTTTTATACAGCCGGCGACGTACAACCCCCAGAGCCAGTTCCATGCCGGACACGGACAACGCAGCCGTGATCAGTCGATTTCTGATCAGAAGTTTGTCATCTTTATTGCAGACTATGCCAATGTTTTAGGCACGGGACTGCAGGCGATGGAGGTTTCTGCATGTGTGCAACACTAAGAGGAACACAAAGGGCTTCGTCTCTACGTGTAAAAGGCTTACAAGGGTGGCTATGGGGTGATCACCGATCAGGGCTGTGCTACGGATGCCTGGACGGCTCAGTCTACCCTCCTGTCTCAGAGACACAGATCTTAGACTCGATTAGTAGATTGCCAAGCTGCCGTGATAGTTCAGCTGTCAGGTTGTGTTCCCGGGCACGATGAGGCTGATCGGGCTGAGGAGAGGGGCGGAGCTGCTGCGGGTCACCGGGGTGAGGCGTCACTGGACCTGTACCGACTGGACTGGGGGGGAGGGGAGTAAAGCGCCTCTAAACCCCAAACCAGAAGTGTAACCACTTGCCCTGCTGAGGATTTACCCCCCTTCATGACCAGGCCATTTTTTGTGATACTGTCCTGCGTTAGTTTAACCGCTAACCTACAGGGCACTTACACTCCCTTCCTGCCCAGGCCAGTTTTCAGCTTTCAGTGCTGTCACATTTTGTATGACAATTGCGCGGTCATGCAACACTGTACCCATATGACATTTTTATCATTTTTTTGAGACAGAGCTTTCTTTTGGTGGTATTTAATCACCTCTTAGTTTTTGTTATAAAATGTAGTAAATTAGTGATTTTTCTCCTTCACTGATGTGCACTAATGAGGCTGCAGTGATGGGCACAGATAGGCTGCAGTGATGGGCACTGATGAGGCACTAGTAGGTGGCACTGATGAGCATTGACAGGCATCACTAATGGGCACTGAAAGGCAGCACTTATATATGGCACTGATAGGCAGCACTGACTGGCACTGATAGGTGACACTGACTGGCATTGATAGGTGGCAATGATAGGTTACACTGAAAGGCAGCTCAGATGGGCACTGATATGTGGCATTGATGTGCACTGGTAGGCACTGATATGTGGCATTGATGTGGCACTGATGGGCACTGGCAGGTGGCATTGATGGACACTGACAGGTGGCATTGCTGGGACTACACTGATCATCAGGGCACACTGATCATCAGTGCCCTGATGATCAGTGTACATGTCCCCTCCGAAGAATGCCGTTTACCGGCTCTCCTCTCAAGCTGTCAGCGTGACAGCTCATGGGGAGAGAAATGCCCATTAACCAGCATTTCGCTATTTACATGCGATCAGCTGTGATTGGACACAGCTGATCACATGACCGAGCCGACATCTTCGGCTCTTTTCGTTGATCGGTGATCCGCTGTGTCCGAGGGACACAGCGCACCACCGATCGCCGCGCTGCATGCTCCTGGAGCTGCGCACGCATGGTTAGAGTGGGAGGACGTCATATGACGTCCTCCCAGAACGAGAGAACCACCTTGCGCCCGTGATTACCTTATATGGCGGGCGGGAGGCGGTTACAATTGTGCGGTCATGCAGCGCCGCACCCAACTGAAATTTACCTCCTTTTTTCCCATAAATAGAGCTTTCTTTCAGTGGTATTTGATCGCCTGTGCGGTTTTTATTTTTTGCGATATAAAGGAAAAAAGATCAAAAATTTTTTACTTTCTGCTATAAAACATCCAGTAAAAACAATTTAAAAAATCAAATTTCACCTTAAATTTAGGCCAAAATGTTATCTGCTACATATCTTTGCTAAAACAAATCCCAATACATGTAAATTAAATGGTTTATGTGAAAGTTATAGCATCTACAAATGGTGGTATGCATACTGGAATTTTGTTTTATACTAGTAATGGCGGCGATCGGCGACTTATAGCGGGACTGCGATGGGCATTCTGACACTGGGGGGGAAACTGACTAACTGCCACTGACATCCCCATTGACATCAATACAGTGATCAGTGCTGTGACACTGTACTAATGGCACTGGGCAGGAAGGGGTTAACATCTGGGGCGATCAAAGGGTTAACTGTGTGCCATATTGTGTTTTCATAATGTGCTGTGCTTGCTTTACTAGGGAGGCATGCTGTTTTGTATTGCTCTGCTATGCATAGCAATACAAAGCAGCATGCTGGAGCTGATGGGAGAGATTTGTATTATATATAAACAAAAAATACAGCGCTGTATGGTATAGTCCAATATTAGCAATAATTATAATATAAAGATAGACATTCAAATAGAATTATCAAAGAAACAAAGTCCTGTGAAAGTGCTCGCTGAGTCCCAGTGTTAATGGTAAAAATGCAAACTAACCAGAAGCGTATTGGAAATATGCATATATGTGAAAAATCTTGAAGATCCCCCTCTCATTCTGGTCAGAATGTGAATAGGAGCTGAAGAAGATGAAGGTGAAGTGCCCTCGTGTGGTAAAAACGAAATCCTACAGATCAGAGATATCATAGCAGAGATGTATGGAATATTCCCCTTCTCTGGAGCTGGTACAAGGATCACTCTGTGGCTGAAAAAGTTGAGATAGCTCCTCACAGGAGACACAGGAAAGGGCTCAAAGTGTAGTATATCAATTTCACTTTATTATTCCAAAAGCATTAGCAGAGAAAGTATATATAGTGGTGCCAGGTGAATGTGAGTAACTGACCCTTTAAATTCAAAGATGGCCGCCGGGCCTCCACGTGGCACCAGCGGCGTGATGTCAACGATGTCCTGGGCTCCACCTATCTTGAGAGATTTGTATTTTTTACATACAGACCTCTCCCTCGTCAGTGATTAATATTATTATACAGGATTTATATAGCGCCAATAGTTTGCTCAGCACTTTACAATATATCAGGAGACAATACAGCAACAATACAGTAACAATACAGTTCAATACAAGAGGGATAGGAGGACCCTGCTCCTTGGAGCTTACAATCTAGGAGATAGTCGACAATCACCAGGTGCCGGTGGGAAATCTCCGTCCGGGACCTGGTGACTGACAGCTGTAGCCGCCAATGGCAGTGCGGGTAGGGCCCACGCGCCCCCAATGTGGAAATACAAACTCACATGTATATATATATTTGTGATTTTGCGCAGCCCTGCAGTATTTGTGCTATAGGACAGCGGGGAAGCGGTTAATATATTGCAGCTTACCAATCACTTAATTTGGTGTCTGCACTCTTTTTCTTTTTTAGGCTTTTTCCTTCTTTTTTTACCCGGGGATCCTGCCGGTAACACACACCTCCTGTCTTAGGCCTCTTGCGCACTGCAGCTTGAAAAAGCATAGTACAGTATTTTTTTACTGATCTAAAATGCATCCCATTGTTTACAATGTGCCTGTACACATAGGTGCACAAACAGTGCTGCACGTTATCGAGTAAAAAAATAGAACATTTTTGTGTTCTTCATCGGTATTTTGCGCAGGTACACGCAACTACTAATGGTTTTCATATAGGAGTGTATTATAGGTGTTCATATGCACAAAACAAATGTCTGAAATTAAGTCTAGGAATGCTGATGCTCAAACATCAGTACCGTTTGCAAGAAGCCTTAAAGCGGCGTTCCAGTCGCACTGTAAAAAAATAAAAGTCAGCAGCTACAAAAAAAAACTGTAGCTGCTGACTTTTAAAAAACAGCCACTTACCTGTCCCACGATCCAGCGGTGTCCTCCCCGAAGCGCGTTTCACCAGCCACCTGGTGTTCCAGGCACCGGCATCTTCAGTGTGGGCACTCGGCTGTGACAGCTTGCAGCTTCACAGCCGGATACCCACTGCACATGCTTGAGTAGAGCTGTGCTTCCTGATTGGCCCCGTAGTCTTCTGGGACCTGTCACATGTCCCAGAAGACTACGAGGAGAGAGGGGAGGAGGACAACTTGGTCTTCTGATTGACTAGGCGATTGCAGCGGAAGTGGGAGCGGGTACCTGTCAATTTTGGGTTCCCGCTCCCCAAAGTTGTCAATCCTTAATGGGGAGCGGGGGGACCAGTCTGTAAAGCGGAGCTTCCCCTTTTGGGTGGAACTCTGCTTTAAGCTGTCCATACATGATTCATTTTCTTTTGTTCAACCAGTGGGTTGAAGGAAAGAAAATTAATCAATTCCTCATCCACACATTTGATGATGACAGGGGAATCCCTCCCAGTAAGCTATTGTATTCTGGCAGTGGGGAGACTTCCTTTCCATCAGAAAACACTGATCAACACTGCAGGCTATAGCTGGCAGCACTGATTAATCAGGAAAATTTTCCAACAGGCTGGCTGTACAGAAGTTGAATCGAGAGATCAACTTCTGTACAACGACCCAGGCCAGACATGGATGAAAATTTGGCCAGACTACGGTTTTCTTTCTTTTTTATAAGTGTTTCCTAAAGCCAGAAGGTTGGAATGTTAAATAAAAATAGTTTTGAGGCATGTCAGTGGTTTTTGTGTCTTTTTCTACACAATTAACCACTTTCCTGCCACCCTATAGTAGATATACTGCTACAGGGCGACGGGTGCGCAAAGTCACATATATATATATATATATATATATATATGTGATTTTGCATTTCCGGGTAGGGGGAGCGTGCCCTACCTGCACTGCCGTTCGCGGCCGCGGCTGTCAATCACCGGGTCCCGGCCAGTGATTACCCACCGGCGCACAGTGATTACCGAGCATCTCCGATAGGGAGGAGGACTGTTTTGTTTACTAACAGTCGTCCTCCCTGTCAGCTCGGGCACACTGCTCTGGATGGCTGTGCAGAGCTCAGCCATCCAGAGCATTGTGATTACAGTGAAGCACACGGACACCGCCCCAAAGTAAAACACTCCCTGCACACAGTTAACCCTTTGATCGCACCTCATGTTAACACCTTCCTGCCCAGTGTCATTAGTACAGTGTCAGTGCTTTTTTTTTTTTTTTTTTTTTAGCACTGATCACTGTATTGGTGTCACTGGGGATGCCAGTGACACCAAGTCAGTTTCTCCCAGTGTTAGAATGTCCACCGCAGTCCTGTTATAAGTCGCTGATCGCCACCATTACTAGTAAAAAAAAAAAATAAATTAAAAATCCAGTATCTATACCGCCATTTGTGCGCTATAACTTTCACAGAAGCCAATTAATTTATACATAGTGGAATCTTTTTTTTTAGCAAAGACATGTAGCAGAATACATTTTGGCCTAAATTTATGATGAAATTTGATTTTTTTAAATTTTGTTACTGGACATGTTTAATAGCAAAAATATAGTTTTTTTTTTTTCTCAAAATTGGCAGTCTTTTTTTTTTTATAGTGCAAAAAATAAAAAATACATAGGCGATAAAACACCACCAAAAGAAATCTCAATTAGTGGGAAAAGAAAGGACTTAAATTTTATTTGGGTGCAGCATTGCATGACCACGCAATTGTCAGTTAAAGTAACGCAGCGCCATAACCCAAAAAATGGCCTTTTCAGGAAGGAGGGTAAATCCTCAGGAGGGCAGGTGGTTAAACAATTGAATGAACATTTTCTAAGAGTGGTGATTTCATACTTTTTGCCAGGGGTTGTATCTCTTTCCTCTAACAGGACATCCTTATTCAGTTCCTTAGTCTGTCGCTAGTTCGCCCAAAAGAAGTTCCTGTCTCTTGGTTAAATGGAGTTGAGATGGAGAATCTATCTCTTGACCTTTAATTTCCTCTTGCTGTTCAAGATGGACCCTGTGTTGATGCTTCGATTTCTACTCTGCTATCATCCAACCCCATAGTTCAGGTTCTATCCTGTCCTGACAAGATGCACTCTACTAAATCTATGAGTGCTTCCTGAGCTTTTAGCTGCAGATGACTGTTTTCTCAGATTGGCAAATCTGCTACCTAGTCTTCTATCCTCGGTTTCCCTGTGTTCTTCCAGGGGCTTGAGGTGATTGTAGGCTGATTAGTGCACTTGCCACAGGAACAGTTGGGTGCTGTCCATGGTGATTTTTTCAGTCTGCACTGGTGTTTTTGGGGCAGGCTTTCAGGCCTCCTTGAAGTGGGGGGTGCACCCCAAGGGCTTGTCCTGGGGATTTGGTTGTTGGTGTAGATGGGGAGTGTATTGTAGGATGGTGCTCAGTTGTTTTTCTACTAGGTGGTCATTTGACCTCATCTGAAGCCAGCTTCTAATATAAGAACTCTTGGGCAGGCCTTTTGAGCTACAAGCAATTGTCAGCTTTCCTGTGTCATTGCATCAAGAGTCTGTGGATGTTTGTTTGCCTATCCCATAGTGGGATTACTTTGACCAACTTTAGGTGAAGTACATCCAGATCACACTTGCAGACAGTCGTTTAGCTAGCTATAACAGCTATATCTAGTTCCATAGCAACCAGCAATGGTAGGCTCCAGCGCACAATTACCTTTCGTATCCTAAAATTAATTCTAGGGGCCCACTATATGGCTGGGCTACAGCCACCGGAAATAATTGCTGCACGTTTGACCATTGGCATCTGGATATTGTGAACATCGTGAGCACCTTGCACAGAGAAGTCATCCAGCATGATAGGCAGGACTGCCAATCATGTCCTCTTATGGTGCATTCTTTCTGCACTACTGATGGGGTTAGTTGTCCCCACTTTCCTATAGTACTCACTTATAAGATAGGATTTGCTTAAGCTTCCCACCCTGATCGTTCGTTATTGGTCTTCTACTTGTATGCTGCCATGTAGGCAGCAGGAAAACAGAAAATTGTATCAAATGCCTACCGTAATTTTCCCTTCTTGGCACCAATCAATGGCAGCATACTAAACCCACCCAGTTTGTTCCTTGCAATGTATAGAGAATGGGTTGTTATGTGGGCATTAACTCTTTATAGCTTTACACTGGTCCTGTGGGTGGAAGTAGGCAGGGCTACTACCACATGTATGCTGCCATGGATTGGCGCTAGGAAAGAAACATTGCGGTATTTGGTACAATATTACATTTGAATCATGCTGCTAACATTCGTAAATATGAATATTTACTTATTTTAACTTTTTTTTTTTTTTCCATTTTTTCAGTTGCTTCCTGGTTTCTGGCTTAAGCCAAAATGATGTCATACATCCCAGAAGTCTTTTTGGGAGAAGGGGCTTTCCTAGCCTGCATTTCCTGAGCTAAGGACAGATGGATACCTGGAAGTAATTGCTACATGAATCCTCTGCCCTTACTCAAGTAGGACATGACTAGCAATGCTAGAGGGGTGTTTTTCAAAATGATTTCTCAACAAAATAAAGCATGGAGACATGGATAGATGAGTGAGTTTGATTTTAATATTAAAAATGAAATAAATAGTGTTTCAGTTTGTTTGTGGTGCTCAGATACAGTTTAGTTCAGCTTTAAAGTTAGAAAAGGAAGACATTTGGAGGGTGTGGTTGGTTCTGGAACAAAGAAATTATTCCAATGTTTCAAAACTTTGTTGAAACCTGGTGCAGATTTAGATCTCTGATTGTTAATAGTGTTTTATGATTCTAGAGGGAGTGACATTATTATTATTATACAGGATTTATATAGCGCCAACAATTTGCGCAGCGCTTTACAAAATGAAGGTAGACATTACAGTTACAATACAATTTGGTACAAGAGGAAACAGAGGGCCCTGTTTCTTAGAGCTTACAATCTAGGAGATGCTGGGCCAATGAGCTGTGGGCATGATTCCTGGCCCTGCAGCTGACACGCATAACCATATTAGGTCAACAATGTCATGCACATACCCATCCTTTTTGTGTACATGCATCTGCGGGGTGCTCCATCTCTCACCTACAGCTCATTGGCCCAGCTACGACAGGTAACTTACAGGTTCCTACTGAATGCAAGCTCATCCCTATTGACAATCGGGGATTTCCCTCACTTTGCATTGATTTCTTTTTACTTCTTGTTGTGATTATGGGACAGGAAGTAAAGGGAAATTTCCCCAATTGGACCCAGATAACAAAACAAACTGACAGTGGTTATAATCCTCCCTTACTCTATCCAAACTGAAAAAAACATTATAGCTTTAGTTCTACTTGAATAAAACATGTCTTCATAAATATTGTGAATCTCTGCAGGTTAAAAATTGCCTGAAAAAGATTATTTCTAACTTTTTTGAGTGATAACCCCCTGCTTCTCAGATACTGTATAAGAGCAGTCAATAGCAAATAAGTTATCATTGGCTTACTGTGTGAATGTATTTGAAGAAGTGAACTTTAATGGGCTACTGATTCTCACAAAAATGTCTTGGTGGGTCACTTCTGTTCAACAGATTTTTGAGTTGTTGGAAAAAAAAACATAGACAGTGTTATCTTATTATTAGTTGCAAATGTATGGACACATTAACAAACATGATTATGAAGTGTCTTTTTTGTGTTTCCAGTTAATATTGAATTAATAGGTATTGGCTTCCCACAAAATATTGATCCACAAAATGGTGTCACTGGTAATGCTTATAGATATAGGTCTGAGATATGAAAGGACCTACAGTAAATCAGACCAATCTACAAACAGGTGCTTTCTCCATACATAACTTCAGCCTATACCAGGAGTCTCCAAACTTTCATGAGATCCAAGCTTTTAGCCAGAGAAGCTTATTAGATTTGTGTTTTTGGAAACCAAGTTACCACAAGGTCTAAATAAATGGAATATTAACCTCTTTACTGATTTTCGGTGAGATTGTTTAGATATATATGTGCTTGCATTTTGAGTATTTTCTTGCAAAGGGGTTGTGTTCCTATGACCAGATGGCATTTGTTCTCATCTAGGAAGCTACGTGGGGTCAGGCCTGGTTGGTATCTGGATAGGAGAGCGCCCGGGAGCATCTCCGATTATACTCTTGCGTTGATTATATAGTTTGCAGTTTTTTACATTTATATCTTTGATATATGTCATTCTGTACATTTTTTCTGAGGTTTTATATATATATTTTTTTTTTGGTTGGTTCAAATGGCAGGAGGTGGTACCGTACAGGTGATGTATGATTTAATGAAACCTTTAGCTTGTTCGCAGTGGAGTTGATAAGGACTTGGGTGGTTCAAATGCTTCATGCAGAGGAACTTTTTTTTTGTACCTACCTTGCATTGTTTTTAAACAGGTTATAATAAAGGAATTTATTTTATTTTATGGTTGTGCTGATGATTTTATGGTTTCACATTTCACTTTGCTCCTATTGGCTGAACAGAGTGGCAGGGAAGCAAAGAAAGGTGAGTATATGCTGCTGGGGAGCGTGGGAGTCGTGTGAACCTTCTACTTTGTCCTTCATGGACAAAGTGGGCTGTCATATCACATTGCTGAATTTGTTTGTGGCCAGTGAGTTAACAATCATATGTTCAATCATTCACAAAGACTTCTTCCCAGTAAGCAATAGATAATAGTTTAAGTTAGTGGATCTCATTGTTTGATAGTACAGTAATAGACTTAAAATATTGTATACTTGTGCCATATTAGATGCATGTTTTTTTTTTTTTTTTTTTTGCAGCTGGCAGAATACAGCACATCTTACAGAGTACTGTCTAGTTTGTCAAATGATAAAAAGGACCTCATCCAAAACGGGCCAGACTTGCATGACTTTGTATCTGGAGACTTAACAGACAAAACCACATGGGCTGAATACAAAGGAAATCTGAAGCGTCAGAAAGGAGAGCGGTAAGAGTGACACTTATTTCCAATATCTATTTGTCAAAGTGGAACTCCAAGAAAAGTTGATTTTTAAAAGTTAGATTGAGCTAGCTTAGTGACCTTTAGGACTAAGGTGTCCTTTTATGAAACGGAGATCAACAGCGATCCTAAGGATCATTGCTGATCTCGGATCATTAGTGGATTAGAAAACAGAGATGATCAGCAGAGAACATGTTCTCCACTGATCATCTCGGAACACAGACGGCCAGTGTATGAAGGAGTGATGTCAGCCCTTCATTGGCGATCTGTGTTCTCCCTCCAGATTCCCCAGCCCAGAGCTGGAGAATCGGAGGAACCGCAAACAAAGCAGCGGTAATTCACCGCTGCTTAGTAAACGGTGTTTGACTGATCTCTTACTGTAATCTTGCGAGATTACAGTAACAGCAGCCATTTTGTAGCATTCAAAGTCTTTGTAGATTGCTTCTCTCCCTATTCGGAGAAGTGATCTACACAGCTTCATAAAAAGGCATTCAGAGGAGAACTGTCTCCTCTGAGAATGCTGGAGAACTGAGCAGCAGTCATTTACTGCTGCATGATAAAAGAACACCTAATTCAGGCAAGCAGAAAAAAACAGTGTGTTTAGATGCATACAGCAGAGAGTTTTGTACACATCTGAACGCAGCGCTATAGTAATCAGTGAGCCCATACACAAAACTGCATCTAGATATGTAAATGTGTGCTGCATTTAGTTGGGCATAGAAAAGTAGGACACAGCTGCAGATTTTACTCGTGTGTATAAATGCACATACATTCAAGTACTTTATGCATTTATTTTGCACTGGATTTTTACTATGTAAGAGGCCTGCTGGGGGGTGCAGATATTTTATTGTTATGGGAAGCACAGTGGCTAGGTGGTTAGCATTTCTGCTTGGCAGCACTTGGGTCATCAGTTCGAATTCCAACCATGGCACTACCTGCCTGGAGTTTGCATGTTGTTCTACCTGTGCCTATGTGGGTTTCCTCCCACACTCCAAAGACATGCTGGTAGGTGAATTGGCTCCTGTCTAAATTGGCCCTAGTATATGTATGTATGAATGAGTTAGGGACCTTAGATTGTACGCTCCTTGAGGGTTAGGGACTGATGTGAATATACAATATATATGTAAAGCGCTGTGTAAACTGTTGGCTCTATATAAGTACCTGTAATTAATAAAATAAATACATTTTGTAGTCTGTTTCACAGTGTGAGCTTTGGTCTTCCAGCAGTACTGCAGAAACGTTCTGTCTCTTGCAATGAGGATAGAGAGTGTTTACTTGTTGTCTTCTTTATTCAGAAAATTTCTTGTATTGTTTTCAATGAATGGCAATGAAGGCATCCTTTGGACAAGGGTAGATTGTGACACTTCCACTCTGCCTTGTCCATTCAGAGAACACCTTATATTCAATGAAAAAAAGAATGCAAGACATTTTCTGAAATGAGGAAGTGCCCAGCAAGCAACTCTTTATGTTCACTACAAGAGACCGGAAGTCACTGCAGTACTGCAAGAAGAGCAAAGCTCTCCCTGTATGTGGAACAGACAACAACTGAAAAGGTCTGCATCCCCAGCAGCCCTCTGGATGTTACTAACCAATCATTACAGGTAACTAAGCTGGCCCAGATTATTTTTTTTGGTCCGAATGGTTGTTTTGTGTCTTGTTGGACCCTTGGCTGCTGCCATTTATATGTAGTACAGTTCATATAAATTATTGTAACACTTCAAAAATACTCGTGGACTGATTTGCAGACAGATGATCCAGACCATATGTGCATAAAAACATGCATAAAGCAAGTTTTAGTGAAAAATCTTGTATCAGTGCTGCTTCGACCAAGAAGAAGGGAACTCTGTGAAAGCTTGACCTAAAAATGAAATGAATAAACAAAGTATCACAGACAGGACTCAGTTGTATTTGTTGCAAATGTACTAACACAGTTACAGTCACGTAAAGCATCTTCCCTACAATGATACCCAATGGATTTATAACAGGGTCCTTATAGACGTCGATATTTTGAAACTGGATGGACCATGTTGATAATTTTACATGAAGTGGTACTTTACTACTCTCTACACAAGCTCTTAAAAAGTAGCTGTGCAAAGTTTCTGTTGCTTTTGCATCAGTCAGTTTTGGAGGCAGCCCGGACCATCTCTCTGTAAATGAAGAGTTTTATCCAGTGCAAAATGACAATATTGTTTAACAGTCTTTATTACTTATTAGGCCTCATTTTAATGTTCTCAACCTCACATAGCTGTATTTCATACCACTAAGTAGACTGGTGTACAAATGAAGCCTTAACAAATAGTAAATTTGTGTTTCTGTAAGCCACTATCACACAATACTTCTGAACTTTTATTCTACGTGACTTTATTCATAAAAAAAAATCTCCCATTCAAATGGTAATAATGAACCCAGTAGTATTATAATGTCATAACAAAATAATTATAGTACAAGTAAAAGTTGTATTTTTTTCTATTATGCTTCATTCTCTTTGTTCAGTCTTAAAATATGGGCTCTTTATATCGCTCAAATGTCCCACAAATGATTTTTTTTTTTGTACTGCAGTAAGAAATATTGACTTATTTCACAGGTTAAGACTCCCACCTTGGGCAAAGACTACCATTCCAATGGGTAAAAATTACAATAAACTGAAGAAACACCTTACGGAACCTGAATCTCCACACTGTAAGTATACCACACAATGAGAGTATACATTTCTGAATTATATATAGGCAGTCTTGCCTAAATGCATTGCCAGCTCTTTTATTGCACTAACAGTTGGGTTTCCATAATGGTTGTTACATACAGTCTTTAAGGTATAACTAAAGGCAACATTTTGTTTTAGCTTTAGATAGAGTGGAGAGGGGTTAGAACACCTCGTTTTTATTGCCGTTTGTACCACTGTTGGGGGGATTCATCCTCTCTGTCCTGGTTACCATCCTCACAGAGAGGGAAAGCCTAACATTTTAGGTTACCAGAACAGGGGTAGAGGGGAAATCTTTGAATGGGAACTCTAGTTCTGGTGATCCTAGTGACAACCAGGAATTCCTACATGTTGAATGGATTTCCTCCCACTTTCTGTTTTGACTACAGGAAGTGAGGGGAAATCTCCACAATAAGACACAGATGGCAAAAAAACTGACAGGGGTTATATCCCTCCCTTAATCTATCCAAAATGAAAAAACAAAAAAGGTTTTGTCTTTAGTTCTACTTTAACTCAATATCTGTCTTTAATCTACAAAAGATGTTAACATAGAATTCCAGGCAGATATAAAAACACCAAATAATGCAGCCATATGTTCATTAATACATAATGTATTTTTTTTAAATTCAAGAAGTGTAAATACCTGAATTTGACTTGTTATCGGCCTCTTGCAGTCCCTGTACAACAAAGCTCAGACTGGGGGAGGGAGAAGAAGCATAAGAAACCAGCCAGTTATGCTGTAGTGCAAAGAGCATACTGATAGGAGGAGAGGGCAAAGTAATGAGCTCAGCAGTCAGCTGTTTCTACTTTTAATGACTAGTCACAGGCTAAGGGAGGGAATAAAACCTGTAAGTGTTACTGAACTGCAGCAGGAAAAAAAATTGGGTCCCCTGTTAGATAGTTCTGTGTGGTGTGCCAGAGCTGTGTAAATTTCAGATCTGGATAAACAAAAATACCAAACACACACACACACACACTATATTGCCGATTTTCGCACCGTTAATTGGTCAGCCGTTTTTCTGGATTTTGTCCGATTTTTTTGATTGGTAAAGTTGGAAAAAAATCGGCCGATTTTTGCGGCAATGATGGGCAAATCGACCAATCTTTTTACCGATAAAAAATCTGCGCATGAGCCGTGACCTGCAAGAAAAAGAAGAAGAAGAAAAAAAAGAAGAAGAAGAAGAGGAGAAAGAAGAACAAGAAGAAGAAAAAGAATTCCAGTCCGCTATTATATTTAACATGAAAAAAGTATTGCAGTTGCAACAATGTATCTATTTGTATCCCAAAAAACCCCATCTGTATCCGAAATGGATACAAATAGATACAATGTTGCAACCGCAATACTTTTTAATGTCAAATATAATAGCCGGGCTCTCTGCAGGGACAGAAGTAATTAAATGCCGGCCGTAGACGGGAAGAAAATCGCTGATTTTTTTTTTTTTACTGTTGGTGGTAACGTCGGCCTATTGAACGACCGATTTTTCGTTTTTTTGTTAAAAAACCGGCTGGTTTTCTCCCAGTCTATGGCCTGCATAAGACTGGGATGCTGTTAAAATTTATGTGCATGTAACAGCAGGTGTTTCAATACTTTTGATATATATTTATTTATTTATTTCAGGTACTTATATAGCGCCGTCAATTTACGCAGCGCTTTACATACATATATTGTACATTCACATCAGTCTCTAACCCTCAAGGGTGTACAATCTAAAGTCCCTAACTCACTTTCATACATACACATACTAGGGACAATTTAGACCGGATCCAATTCACCTACCAGCATGTCTTTGGAGTGTGGGAGGAAACCGGAGTACCCGGAGGAAACCCACACAGACATAGGGAGAACATGCAAACTCCAGGCAGGTGGTGCCAAGGCTGGGATTCGAACCAATGACCCTAGTACTGCCAGGCAGAAGTGCTAACCATTTAGCCACTGTGCCGCCTGCATATATATATATATATAAAACAAGATTTGCATTGAGGTAGATAGTACGCTTAAAAATAAAGATTAGAGACACCATGTAATGTCATGCTGTTGGTACTTTTTGGGTGTACTTCTGCTTGTGAACATGCTGGTATTAAATTGTGTATTAATCAGGTATGTGAAGAAGCTCGGTGCCCCAACATCGGAGAGTGCTGGGGTGGTGGAGAGTATGGCACTGCTACAGCAACCATCATGGTGAGGGAAAGCATAATTTCGAGCTGTTGCTTTAATAAAAATGTTTCAGTATTTTTGATTGATGCTGAATGATTCAAAATTAAAATAATAGAAAACTCATGTCAGAACTAGAGAATCTTATTTTTTTGTGAATTAGAAAGTAATCTTTGCTGTGTGGCCCACTTGATGGCCCGGTCTTAGGACATGAAGTACAAGTGCACTAAAAGTGTAAAAACCAATGTACCTTCATATATGATGATTGTATTATGTACACACTTGTAAATTGTGCCTTAAAATGGAACTGCACTCTCTCAATCACCATTGACTATTCGTAATCCTTATGCTTCTAGTATTAGTAAATAGATAGGAAGGTATATCATATTTATTTGTTTTAAACTTTTTTTTTTTTGCATTTCTCCTGTTGCTTCCTGGTTTCCAGGCCTATACAAATGATGTCATACATCCCAGGAGTCTTCAGGAGGGTAGGAGGAGCTTTCTCATCTAAGCTCACCTTCCTTTCTGCATGCCTGAGCAAAGGGCAAATGGATTCCAGGAAGTAAAGGCTACATGAATTATCTGCTCTTACTCAAGATGTCCTTGGCCAGAAATGCTAGGGGGGTGTTTTTCAAAGTGGTTTGTGAGCAAAATAAAGCATGGAGACATGGATGGATGAGGGAGTTTGCACTGAATAATAAAAATGAATTAAATAGCATTTTTGTTTGTGGTGCTCAGATGCAATGTAGTTCTTCTTTAAGTGGCTATCTGTATATCAGGTTGTGGAGTCAGCACCCCTGTATAACAAGTGCTGAAATTACAGGATTAGACACATGTAGAAGACTAATATGCTGTACAGTTAGTGAGAAAGAGGAGCAAAGAAGTACATTGCTACTAAGCAGGAAGCAAAACTTGCATATTTAATAAGTAAGTGTGGCTTCAAGTAGTGCACATTTCAAACTACATATTATACAAAGAAACAGAGTTTTATAAAGCTCTCACATATATACAGTGATTCCATTCACATGTATCCATAAAGATTATAGTTTCACTTTAAAGGGAAGCTTTAATATTATGGGCTCATGAATGTGACAAACATAAATGTCCATTCTTGACAAATGCTGTCCAAATTTTTCATAGGACAGTGAATGATCATCATTAGCCTTAATGTAGTATTTTTGCTGAAATACCTGTCAGAAAAAAAATATCCCATTAAATTGTTAATAAAACCCCGGACCCTGCATTCTCTGTATCTGGTCTCACACAGTACACACAACATGGAAATGCAGTTATTTAAGTAAGTATGAACTGCTAAATACCTTTACTCTTCAGCAGTTAGAACAGTCTTGTGACTTCTATCAGTGTCCAGCAGAGCACTGGTTAAAGCTTGTAGGAGGAGTTTTCATTCTCCCCTGATTGTCCTATGAGGCTGCATAACCCACGGCCTTCTGTCTGGACAGCGCTGATTGGCCCTGTGCTGATCACAGGCACTCTTCCAAGAAAAAAAAAAAACTCTAGCAATACACACCAAACTGAGCATGTTTATCTTGCCCCCAAAGGCTTTGTTTAATCGAGATATGTTAGGCACAGTAGAAGAAAGGGAGGATCAGAGAAGACAGGGTCAAACAGCCTTTTTACACAATGCAGAGGATTAACCCCTTAGGTTCCACAGTGTGTATAACAAGAATGCTTTACTGAATATTCAAAATTTTTTTACTGTTGTGGGTTTAGTAATACTTTAAGGCCACTAAATGGAGCTGACAATCATAGGAAATCACTGTATTAAGCAAAATAAGGTTAGAATTTGTCAAGAATAATTTGTTTTATAAATAGACTGCTTTTCTGTAAAAGTTTTATTTATTTATTTTTACATTTTTTGTCTTTAAGTCAGTGCTTTTATTTCCTTTTATTACTATTTAGATACAATATTTGCTGTGCAAATTTCCCACTAATAGACAAAATGACATAACCTAAGAGATTTGTGTCTTCTCTCTCTCCCCTCCTCCCCTCTCTCTCTCCCCCCCTCCCTCTCTCCCCCATCTCTCTCTCTCTCCTCCCCCCCCCCCTCCCCTCCCTCTCTCTCTCTCCCCCCCCTCCCCTCCCCTCTCTCTCCCCCCTCCCCTACCTCTCCCCCTCCCCCTCTCTCCCCCCTCCCTCTCTCTCCCCCTCCCCTCTCTCCCCCCCCTCTCTCCCCCCTCTCTTTCTCTCTCTTTCTCTCTCTTTCCTTCCCCCCCCCCCCCCCTCCCTTCCCTTCACCCCTCTCCCCCCCTCTCTCTCTGCCCTCTCCCTCCCCCTCTCTCTCTCTCTCCCTCCCACCTCTCTCTCTCTTTCTTTTCTCCCCCCCCCCCTCCCTTCACCCCCTCTCTCCCCCCCCTCTACTCCCCATCTCTCTCTCTCTCTCCCCCCCCCCCCCTCTCTCTTTTTTTCTCTCTCTTCCTCTTTCATAGCCTAGATAGAGTAGGCAGGAAGAGAGGATAAAAAAACAGTCTGAGGTTCAACTATTGGGCCTTAAACAGCAAAGCAGTCAGTATAAGCCTGCAGAGCCTAGAGTTCATCCTGCTGTTTTGAAATCATATACTTTACTGCTTGCTGCCTTTCTTTAGCCCTGAACATAATAAATCTAAAATTATAAATGACATCTTGGGTTTTTTGCTCTTAGATATGGTTTATGTTTCCAGACATTAGAGGTAATATATCAGTGTTTGTTTCTTTCTGATTTATTGCCAGTTAATGGGAGATACATGTACCCGAGGCTGCCGCTTCTGTTCAGTAAAAACATCCAGACAACCTCCTCCACTGGACCCAGAGGAGCCATACAACACTGCTAAAGCCATAGCAGAATGGGGACTGGACTATGTGGTTCTCACATCTGTGGATAGAGATGGTTGGTATGCTTGTCAGCCGCTTTCAGTAGGCATATGTATATGGATAAAACCCAGCTAGTAAAAGAGCCTTATTTCTCTATGCCCATATAAATATGAAGGCTTGTCCTATACAGTGCCTTGACAAAGTATTCATACCCCTTGAAATTGTCAACATTTTGCCTTGTTACAACCAAAAACACAAATGTATTTTAGTGGGATTTTATGTGATAGACCAACACAAAGTGGCACATAATTGTGAAGTGGAAGGAAAATTATAAATAGTTTTCAACATTTTTTTACAAATATCTAGAAAGTGTAAAAGCAAAACTCCAGTTCTAATAAAAAAAAAAGTAATTGCCAAGAAAAAAAGCTGCTCTCCACTCCTGAACACGCTGGTACTGTGTTTTTTTTTCCTGCCTTTAATTGCCTGTAAATGCCTTTATGTACAAGGACATATAAGCTAGCAGAGAGGGGCTTTTAGAATAAAAATGTCAACTGCCTATAAAAGTGGAGTTTTTGATGCCCAGTGTGCATGGGGCATAAAGCTATTATACCTTTTATTTTTTTAATGATTCTCTTTTTACATTTCATGTATTTCTATTTAGATCTCCCAGATGGAGGTGCTGAACACTTTGCTAAAACTGTGTCTCACTTGAAAGAAAGGTAAGTGCATAAACACTTTGGAAGTCAACAGTCGGTTAATTATCAAAGTAATTGCTCTTTGATCATTGCAAGATTGTTAAATCTGTTATACTAAATGCTCTTAATGGGCTCTGTATGACCTTCATAAGATTGAGTTAGAAAGGTGCATTAAAGTGTTACTAAACCCAGGACCCTGCATTCACTCTATCTGGTCTTCCACAGTTCACAGAGCATGGAAATACAATTATTTTATATATATTTTAAATATAAACCGCTAAATATTTTTTCTCAACAGCTGTTAGAGCAGTCTTGTGACTTCTATCAGTGTCCAGCAGGGCACTGGTTAAAGCTTGTAGGAGGAGTTTTCATTCTCCTCTCACTGTCCTATTAATCTGCAGGACCCCTGACCCCCTGTCTGGACAGTGCTGAATGGCCCTGTGCTGATCACATGCACCCTCCCAAGAAAAAGATAAAACTCTCTAGCAATACACACTAAACTGAGCATGTACAGCTTGCCCCCAAGGCTCTGTTCTATCAGGAGATGAAATGGGGACAGTAGAAAAAGGGGAGGATCAGAAAAGACAGGGTCAAACATCCTTTTTACACAATGCAGAGGATTAACCCCTTAGGTTCCACAGTGAGTATAACAAACATGCTTTACTTATTGATTTTACTGTTGTGAGTTTAGTAACACTTGAAATAAAATATTATGGTGTGATATGTAGAGATATAGAGATACAGTTGCAAGAAAAAGTATGTGAACCCCTTGGGTTTACGTGGAGTTTTGCATGAATTGGGCATAAAATGTGCTCTGAACGTCATCTAAGTCACAACAATAGAAGAACACAGTCTGCTGAACATAATACTACACAAACATTAGATGTTGCCATGGTTTAATTGCACATAAAACATGTAAACATTCACAGTGCAGGGAGGAAAAAGTATGTGAACCTTTGGACTTAATAACTGGTTGACCCTCCTTTGACAGCAATAACCTCAACCAAACATTTCCTGTAGTTGCAGATCAGACCTGCACAACGACCTGGAGTAATTTTGGACCACTCCTCTTCACAAAACTGTTTCAGTGTAGCAATATTGGTCTTGGGATGTCTGGTGTCTGGTGTGAATCGCTCTCTTAAGGTCATGCCGCAGCATTTCAATCGGGTTGAGGTCAGGACTCTGACTGGGCCACTCCAGAAGGCGTATTCTGTGCTGTTGCAGCCATTGTTTTGTTGAATTACTTGTATGCTTTGGGTCAATGTCCTGTTGCATCACCCATCCTCTGCGGAGCTTCAGTTGGCGGACAGATGGTCGTACGTTTTTCCTGCAAAATGTCTTGATAAACTCTGGAATTCATTTTCCCATCAATGACAACAATCCGTCCAGGCCCTGAGGCAGCAAAGCAGCCCCAAACCATGATGCTCCCTCCGCCATGTTGTACAGTGGGGATGAGGTTTTGATGTTCGTGTGCTGTGCCTTTTTTTCTCCACAGATAGTGTTGTGTGTTCTTCCCAAACAACTCAATCTTGGTTTCATCTGTCCACAGTATATTTTGCCAGTAGTGCTGTGGAACATCCAGGTGCTCTTTTGCAAACTTCAAACATGCTGCAATATTCATTTGGACAGCAATGGCTTCCTCTGTGGTGTCCTCCCATGTACTCCATTCTTGTTTAATGTTTTCCTTATTGTAGATGTGTCAACAAAAATGTTAGCATGTGCCAGAGATTTCTGTAGGTCTTTAGCTGACACTCTGGGATTCTTCTTAACCTCATGCAGCATTCTGCGCTGTGCTCTTGCAGTCATTTTTACAGGACGACCACGACTAGGGAGAGTAGCAACAGTGCTAAACTTTCTTCATTTGTAGACAGTCTGTCTTACCGTGGACACATGAACATCAAGGCTATTGGAGATACTTTTGTAACCCTTTCCAGCTTCATGCAAGTCAACAATTCTTGATCGTAGGTCTTCTGAGAGCTCTTTTGTGTGAGGCATGGTTCACATCAGACAGTGCTTCTTGAAACCAGTAAACCCAAAACAGGTGTGTGTTTTTTAAGGGCAGGACAGCTGTCAGCAACACATCCAATATCATCACACTGATTGGAGTCAAGGTTGGCTCACTCCTGGCTCCAATTAGCTCTGGGAGAAGTCATTAAGCTAGGGCCTCACATACTTTTTCCTCCCTGCACTGTGAATGTTTACATGTTATGTGCAATTAAACCATGGCAACATCTAATGTTTGTGTAGTATTATGTTCAGCAGACTGTGTTCTTCTATTGTTGTGACTTAGATGACGTTCAGAGCACATTTTATTCCCAATTCATGCAAAACTCCACATAATCCCAAGGGGTTCACATACTTTTTCTTGCAACTGTATTTTTCTCATTTTTACTTGTATGCATAGATTTTCTGTAAACATTTTACCTTTTTAATTTTTCTGTGCAGAAATCCTAAAATACTTGTTGAGTGTTTAACACCAGACTTCCGAGGCGATACGAAAGCTGTAGAAATCATTGTTCAATCTGGTCTAGATGTCTTTGCTCACAATGTGGAGACAGTGCCAGCTTTACAAAGGTACTAATGCACACTTATCAATAGTATGTCCTTCAAATTATCACATTATGGGTTAGCTGGAACTGTCCAACCTAGAACAGAAATAGTTGTCAATCCTTAACTGGTTAAAGTGGAGCTTCACACCAAAAGGGGAAAGTTCTGCTTGACTGCCTCCTCCCCCCTCCTCTTTAAAATTGGGCATTCATTTTTTTTTGGGGGGGGGGGGGGGGGGCAAAGGAGAGACAACATGGTTTTGACAGGTTCAACACATCCGCCCGCTCCGCCTACAGCCTTTTGGGACACATCACAGGTCCCAGAAGACTGCTGGACCATTCCCAAAGTGCAGCGCAGCTCGCACATGTGCAGTGAGGACATTGCTGGGTCCCTGGACATGTGCGTGTCCTTATATTAAAAGTCAGTAACTACAGTATTTGTAGCTGGCTGACTTTAAATTTTTTAAGGGGACACTGAAGCTCCTCTTTAACTCGCATACTTTTAATAAAATGTTTAAAAACTGACCTTTTTACTGAAACCTACCTCAAACCTTTTGTCCCTCCACACACCTTAGAATCAGAGTTTTGTTCCTGTTGGAATATCTTTGCAGGTGACAATGGGCAGTTAGCCCTTTCCTTTTCTGATTGTAGCAAGTAATGTTGACATGAGTCTTATCAGTTTGAGTATGAGTAATCTTAGGATAATTTTGCATGGACTGTTGTGATCGGCTCTCGAAAGCAGTCTACTAATGGTCAGATTATTGGCATTTTTCGTCCGACTTTCACATTGTGTGTACTAGGTTTTAAATCTCCTGCGAATTACCGCTTTTCTTGTTGACAAATCTATAGTCACTTGATCATGCAACTGAGCTATGATCTCACAATGCTGCAATTCAATCACATTGTGCATGTTGTGTACAATTAATCATGTCCATAGAAATTACTGGGGTGTGCAATTAATCTCTAAGGCTAGGTTCACACTATTGTGGCTTTGCAGGCTGCATTTCCATTTATTTGAATGGGCTGCTGCGCTTGCGTTTTATGCAGGAAAAAGGTTCCTGCAGCATTTTGAAAATGCAGCGGCCAAGAAATCACATGGTGCTTTTGCACCATGCGATTATCCTGTGATTCCTGCACCCGCATTTTTAGATGCATGGGGGTGCCGTTAAGATTGAATGGCAGTCCTACGTTTTTTCAAAGAGCAGCGTGTTTTGGCTGTGGGTGGTTGTGGGTATGGGAACAGCTGCGATTCCCGCACCCCCAACCACTTGCAATAGTGTGAATCTAGCCTACGTGTTTTTTATACAAGAATTGCTTGTTTCACCCCTGCAGAAGTACTTGCTGGGACTTTCTGTTTTTTTACATGCGGTACTTATTTTGGTGCTTGCACACTGCAGTCTGTACACAGGTATGGCAGCCAGCTGGGACACAGATCAGAAAATGTATGCATTTGAGAAAAGGCCAGAACTGTATGAATCCACTTGGGCTACTTGTGCCTCCAGGGAAGGCTTCCCCTCCAACAGAACACAATAGCTCTGTGGGAGGGATTTCCCCATTAAAACTGATTGTGTTGATGGGGGAATCAAGCAGTTTTCTTTTTCTGCAATCCATGGTCTATTGCTTGTCTTAGCCAGCCAAAATCCTGGATATTGGATGTCATTAAATAATACCTATACACAGAAAAGAAAATTGTGCGCAATTAATCACTTGACTTTTGCTCATAAAAGCAATCTAATCTCTAGGCGATTTTCCATTCTCTGTGATTAAAATCTCCTTAAACCTTTACAGCTGTTAAATGTAAAGCTGAAGCTTAGGTATGGACCATTTTACATAGTTACATTGGTCCAGCTTTGACCAATGTAAGTATGCATGTGCCATACCTGGGCAATCCCTGTGTGGAATCTAGAAAATAATGTAGTAGACACTACAGTGATGTCTCCTGCCCTTTGGGCTCCTTGCTGAGCGGCTGCCCTGCTGCTTGATCAATAGAGGGAGGTCCTTGTATGGCACACTCCTAGCATTTCTTCAGGGAATGCAAAGCATTCTCTGATTGTACAAGATGGAGAGGCGGGCAGTGATGTCACATTCTCCACCTCGTCTAATCAGAGAACACTTTGCATTCATTGAGAGTGCATAGTATTCTCTGCATGGTGCCCATGCTGATCGACCAACCTCCTGTGTTCACTAAACAGCAGGGCAGCTGCTCAGCAAGGGATCCCTGTAGTAGCAGTGTCTATTAAATTGATTTCCAGCAGGTGGATTATCCAGATTTTGGCACATGTTTACATATACTATATAGCCAAAAGTATTGGGACACCTGCCTTTACACACACATGAACTTTAGTGGTATCCCAGTCTAAGTCCGTAGGGTTCAATATTGAGTTGGCCCACCCTTCACAGCTTCAGCTCTTCTGGGAAGGCTTTCCACAAGGTGTTAGGAGTGTGTCTATGGGAATGTTTGACCATTCTTCCAGAAACACATTTGTGAGGTCAGGCACTGATGTCAGACGAGAAGGCCTGGCTCGCAGTCTCCTCTCTAATTCATCTCAAAGGTGTTCTATTGGGTTGAAGTCAGGACTCTGTTCAGGCCAGTCAAGTTCTTCCACCTTAAACTCGCTCCTCCATGTCTTTATGGGCCTTGCTTTGTACACTGGTGCGCAGTCATGTTGGAAAAGGAAAGGGGCCATCCCCAAACTGTTCCCACAAAGTTGGGAGCATGAAATTGTCCAATATGTCTTGCTTTGCTGACGTCTTAAGAGTTCCCTTCACTGGAACTAAGAGGCCAAGCCCAACCCCTAAAAAAACAGCCCCATGCCGTAATCCCCCTCCACCAAACTTTACACATGGAACAAAGCAGTCAGGCAAGTTCCGTTCTCCTGGCAACCACCAAACCCAGACATGTCCATCGGATTGCCAGAGAAGCGTGCTCTAGAGTCCAGTGGCGGCATGATTTACTCCACTGCATCTGACGCTTTGCATTGCATTTGGTTATGTAAGGCTTGGATGCTGCTGCTCGGCCATGGAAACCCATTCCATGAAGCTCTCTACGCATTGTTATGGTGCTAATCTGAAGGTCACATGAAGCTTGGAGGTTGTTCACTATTGACTGCAGACAGTTGGCAATTTCTGCACACCGTAGGGTTCAGCATGCACTGACCCCGCTCTGTCATTTTACGTGGCTGTTGTTCCCAGTTTCTTCCACTTTGTTATAATATCACTAACAGTTGACCGTGGAATATTTAGTAGAAAGGAAATTTCCCGGATGGACTTATTGCACAGGTGGCAACCTATCACCGTACCACTCTTGAATTCACTGAGCTCCTGAGACCCATTCTTTCACAAATGTTTGTAGAAGCAGTCTGCATGCCTAGGTACTTGATTTTGTACACCAGTTGCCATGGAGGTGATTGGAACACCTGAATCCTGGAGGGGTGTCCTAATATTTTGGCAATATAGTGTATATTGGTCAAATCCAGACCAATGTAACTATGCAAAGTCGTCCATACCTAAACTTTAGCTTTCATTTTACTGTGCATATTATCCTGCTAATCATATGTTATCCAATGGAGATGCCAAACTAAAGTCCTTACTAAAGTTACACCAGCATACACGCATCAGCGCAAGAGTCCCCAAACTTTTTAAACAAAGGGCCGGTTCACTATTTGTCACATTGCCCCTGCGTCAATGGTTAGAATAAATAAGATATGCCCCTACGGCACAGCAAGTAAAAAATATGGTCCGACATCAGCAGAAACAGTAAATGCCTGTGCACCAAGGTTCAATAGGCATAATAAATGCCCCTGCATCAGTGGTAAGTGGAAGTAGAAAATGCTCCTACTTCTGTGTTTATTAGGAAAAATAAATGCCCAGGGTCAGGAGGAATAAACCTCATGCACTGGCATCCATGGCAGTAAAAAAATGTTCAGTTTTTGGTGGTGAGTAGGAGTAATATATGCCTCAGCATCAGTGGCCATGGTATTAAAACTTTCCCCAGAAAAAAATGCCCCCGCATTGGTTATCAGTGGAGGAAAATATGCCCCTGCTTCACTGGTCATTGGAAGTATTAAAAGCCCCTGGTCAGTGAGAGTAATACTGTACATACTGTGTCAATGGTTAGAATGGTGCCCCTATGTCAGTGGAATGAATGGTGCTGCTGTGTCGGTGGGAGTAATGGTGCCAGTGTGTCAGTGGTCAGTGGAAAATGGTGCGTCATCATTGTGTTTCTGTGATCACTTGCTTTTCATGATCCATGTTTAGCACTACTCTTTGTATGGATGTTACATTTGGGACTATACAGGCAACATGACCTGTATATTCACATGAAAAATCTCTGTATGTGAACTGTATATCGATTATAAATATGATTTGCACAAAATTGATTACATAATCAATATTTTACTTTTACCTGATTAAAAATGAAACACATAATTTGAACCGTTTTTTTACTTCTGTACATAATGAAACAAAAAACATTATGCGATCCCTTTAATCGCACAGAATTTTCTATCCTTAATCGTCCAGGTATGTACGTGACCCTCGGGCTAATTTTGAACAGTCTGTAAGTGTCTTGAGGCATGCAAAACACATCCGTCCAGACATTGTAACAAAAACCTCCATCATGCTGGGTTTAGGAGAGACAGATGAGCAAGTGTATGAGACAATGACAGGTATGTGACATGAGATAAATATTGGTATATGTGCATGTAGCAATAGAAATGCTGTTCCCTCTATAGCAATTCAAGTATTTCTAGCTTATTGCAAGAGAATGTTAAAAGAGAAGTAAGGGCTTAAGGAACAAAAACATTATACTCACCTAGGTGGAAGCAGCATCAATCCAATGCTGCATCTATACCCTGCCGGCTCTGCACAGAGAACTGAGCAATCAAACACTGTGATCGCTCAGTTATCCCCCTCCGCTCTGAGCAAAGAGCAGTGACTGTCAGTCTCCAGCTCTCTGCTCTGCCCTTCAGCGCTCACTGAAGCGCTGGGCTGTGGAGGGGGCAAGAGGGGCTGGCTCAGGCTCTTGGCGGATCACTGAGAGGCTGAGCCAGGTGCCAGTCTAGGCTTCTGGGTGGACCCCGACCATATGGTTGGGATCTTTTCAGAGTCTGCTCCGGCTATGTGAAATCAGCCAACAGCGGGCTTCAGCCTGCTGTTGGCTGAAAACGGATAACAGGAGTGCAAAACTAACTGCACTCCTGTGATCCATGGGATAAGTATAGCCAAAAAATGGTTGTAAAGACTCAAGGTTAACCCGTATCACTGACCCAATGCTGACCGCCACAGAATTTTGTAGGTACTGTACCCAGGGGTGTTTTTACCACAAGGCAAACATAGCATTTGCCTAGGGTGGCATTTTTTCAGGGGGGCAGCAGCATTTTTCAGGGGGCCAGCGGTATTTTTTTCTGGGGGGCAGCACCGCCCCCCAAAAGAAGGGATGGAAGAAAGGACACGCAGCATGGGGACCAGGTGGTATCTGAGAGAGGCTGCTTGATGGTGTATACAGAACTTGACTCTTGTTCCCGGGGATGTCAGACGCTGTGAAGATGAGTGTCTTCTCTCATGCTAGGGTGATGGGGGGTTGCCAGTGTGTATGGAAGGCCCTCTTGGGTGGGGGGGGGCTGGGATGGGGTGTTGCTGGTCAATGTCAGGCTCTTATCGTGGGGGAGGGAGGTGTTTGTCAGTGTCAGAGTGGGGGGGGGCAATTTTTGTGTTGCCTAGGGCAGCACGAAACCTAAATACACCACTGACTGTACCTCCTTATATTCCTCTCAGGTGACGCTCACAACTTAGGGAACCCGTTTATTTCTGCAAAATATATCTCTAGCATAGTTGTCTGTATCTCAGAGGAATGACCTTGAGACCCCTATTTCTGTGGAGGAGATCACCACGGCTATCTCCACCCTTGCCCCAGTAAAGTCTCCCGGCCGAGATGGGCTCCCCCTGGATTTTTATTCTACCTACTCGGAGGTTCTAATTCCGGAATTACTGCACCTCTTCAAAAGTATTTTCACAGAGGGTGCCCTGCCGGATTCTATATGTGAAGCTCTAATAATAGTGAATCATATCAGCATATTTCCCTAATACAGGTAGATATTAAGATCATGGCTAAAATTTTGGCTTTTACATCTCAATCAAGTTATCCTATCTTTAATACACCCTGACCAAACGGGATTTATGCCAGGGAAAAACACTGCTATGAATATTCGTCACTTATGCATGAATATACAAGCCTCCCATGATGAAGTCGGTACTAGGGCAGTGGTGATGCTCGGCGCTGCAAAAGCGCTTGATTCAGTGGAGTGGAGCCATCTCTGGGAGTGTCTGGAGGGGTTTAGTTTTGGGCCCAATTGCATTAAATAGGTGCAATTGCTGTATTTTCCCCCTATTGCCAGTGTGTCTGTCAACGGGTGGATATCAGACATTTTTCCCTTGGGCCGAGGGACCCATCAGGGTTGCCCTCTGTCCCCCTTGTACGCGCTTGCGGTGGAACCCCTGGCCACTCTGCTCAGACGACACCCTGATATTAGGGGCCTCTGGGTTGGCTCCTTGGTGGAATCTGTTGGAATGTATGCGGTCTATATGTTTTTTTTTTTTACCTGGCTGACACAGGCCCCTCTCTAAGTACTGCTTTACAGATCATTGAGGAGTTTGGAACACACTCTGGGCTGCTTGTCAATTGGAGTTAGTCGCAGATCCTTTCCCACGACATCTGTCCTCCATCGTACATTTCTGGTTCCCTGCCTCTATGCAGAGTTTCTACAATCCAATATTTGGGAGTTTCTGTTAGCAGGGAGCTCTGAGGTTACCCCACGCTCAGTATCGAGCCACTATTTACTATCCTTAAGGCACGCATCCAATCGTGGGCAAGGCTCCCACTGGGGGTAATGGGAAGAATTAACCTAGTCAAAATGATCCTCCTGCCTAAGTTCCTTTATATATTCTGGCACTCCCTGATACTGCTACCCCTGAAAACCTTCAAAACACTTGAATGAATTCTTAACTCGTTTATCTGGGGATCGGGTAGACACAAGATCTCCTGGCTCGTACTCAAAAACCCCCACTAGCTAAATCGGAGACCGATCGTTACCATGCTCTGGTGTGTGGGCGGCCCGGTCGTACTTTGTTTTCCCCCCTACAGGTAGCGTTGCTGGACAGCGGGCATCCCGGTGCTCATGCTCCTCACGACACAATAGGGCATCACCACAAACGTATCTGAGAGCTGGCTCTTCGTCTCGTGAACGCCCCCTCCTATCACTCATATGTTCCCCTTTGGCTGCTTAAACTCCTCACTATCCCTAACCTTAAGATGAGGTGCTTGGGCCCATTGGGCCCAAGACGTTCCAAACCTTAAAAGAGGAATTTGACCTCCCTAACCATATGTTATTTAGATATTTACAACTCTGTCACGCCTTGAGGGCCCAATTTCCAGAGCCAGCTCCTCTACTTCAACCTCTAACATTGATAGATGTGGTGCTTGGGTCCGAATCTACCAAGCTGATTTCGGTCTTATACACTGCATTGCGCACTCCCACAATAGCTAACATAGCGGAGGGGGCCAAATCCTGCTGGAAGCCATTGGAGTCAGAGATCTGGGATGAGATATTGGAGGGCACCAAGTTGCCTTCACCGAGACTCCCCAACAGACTTGCTCAGCTCTATATAGTACATCAAGCTTATCTTACCCCACTTCGGGTCTCTAGATTTCATCCCGAGCAGAACCCTCTGCTCTCGATGCCTCAGGGACACTGGCACCTTTTTCCACCTCAAATGGTCCTGTCCAATTATTCAGATGTACTAGGAACAAATCATCAAGTTGCTCCATGATCACATGGGCTCACCTTTACAATTAGATCCCAGAGTGTGTCTTGGTCTTCTCCCTGACCTGCCTGAGGACAAATTCCTTGTTACACTCTTATGTGAATCCCTATTTAGTGCCCAAAAATTAGATGCACACCGCTGGATGCAGACAACCATCCGTACCCTCCAGGCATGGTTGATTGAAGTTAATTCACCTCTTCTATATCTGTATAAACAAAGGATGCCCCACGAAGTACAACAAAATATGGGATAGATGGCTTGCTTCACCTGCCACCTATGCAACCTGATTTAAAGGCGATATCCGTGGCTGGGTTCCTCTCACTGAATTTTGTATTGCTCTACCCCCAGACACTGAATACTAGTGCACTTTGCTATGTTATTTGATCTATGTTATGTTTGCTATCTAACCTTTTTTGTCATTTCACATGTCTCCTGGAAATGCTCCTTGTTACAATACATGTAAAAAAATTCTGTGTGCTTTGCTTGGGTTTAATTACTTTTAAAGTAAACTAAGTAGAAGTGGAAATAAAGCAGTTATATGTACATTTACATCAGTATGCAAACTACATTATCTTTTTTAGCTTTGCGAGAAGCAGATGTGGACTGTCTGACCCTTGGCCAGTATATGCAGCCAACTAAACGTCATCTAAAGGTAATAAACCATTTCTGAGATAAACATAGCTAAAGTAAGTGTTTGACTACCTTTTTATAAGTATAACTGCATTTAAAGTTACTTATAACCTCTGTTTGTATTTCCATTTTTGCAGCATATTGGGATAACACCTACTTTATGTTTGTTATATGTTTCTATTCACATAGTATAACTTAAAAAAAAATGCTGTCTACCTTTTTAAAATGCTCTTTTGAGAACTCCAGGCTTGGAAAAATGTACTTAGCTTCCCTTTCTCTGTATTGTTTATTAGGGTGCTGTGGAATTATGTTTGTAATTAACACTAATTGTACTTAGCTGGTAGATCTCATTGTCAGTCGTAAACTAGATTTGAACACTGTCTGTCGTATCGATGGGTTAAGGACTTAAGCTGACCATACATGGATCAAAATGTGGTTGGTTCAGTAGGGACTGGCTGAATTTTAATCCATGTATGGGTACTGTCATTGAAAAGAGGTCAATTCACTGATTGACCTCTGCTTAACCAGACTGCAGCGCTGATCAGTGTATTCTGATGGTAGGGAAGTCTCTCTGCTGTCAGAATACAATGACACAATGGGGAGAATTCCTGCATCCACCTTGAATGTGTGGATGGAGAATTGGAGAGAGTTTTCTTTTGTTCAACCCACTGGCTATCTTTAGAAACTTGACTTCAGCATTGTATGGTAATGAGGGGAAACTGAGTGTGTCCCTAGTCTGTGTGCGGTAACAGGCTCGCTGTGAAAATGTTCAGAATAGTTTGCAGCCTGCCCAGAGGTCTGCTTCAAAAAAAAGTAATAAATATATATATTTTTTATTTTTAGGTGTGCAATGTGTATGGAATCACATACCAAACATATAGTGGAATTTTCTTAAATTTGACTGCAAAAATAGAAATACTCTTTAAAATGTATGTAGGTGACATCACTGCTCAGTATGGTTGTCACCCTAAGATAAGAAGTGTGGGTAATAGAAGGATTACCAGGTTAAAATGAAGGAAAAAAGTATTAAAAAAATAATAATAATCTCACACCAGATTGTAATCCTGCCCTTGGGTGATACATTACTCCTGGATACAGTGCAGTGAGTGAGCATTGCCACCCTAGGACACGAACTGTGATACAGAGACCACATCTAAGGAGTGGTAAGCTGCAGTACTATCAATTATTGTTCTTGGCTTTAAATACACTTTAACCACAAGCCACCAGGCAATTATACCCTCTTCCTGCCCAGGCCAATTTTCAGCTTTCAGCGCTGTCGCACTTTGAATGACAATTGCGCGGTCATGCAACACTGCACCCATATGAAATTTTTATCATTTTTTTGAGACAGATAGAGCTTTCTTTTGGTGGTATTTAATCACCTCTGGGTTTTTTATTTTTTGCTAAACAAACCAAAAACAACTGAAAATTTTGAAAAAAAGTTTTTTTCTTTTAGTTTTTGTTTTAAAATTTTGTAAATAAGTGATTTTTCTCCTTCACTGATATGCGCTAATGAGGCTGCAGTGATGGGCACTGATAGGTGGCACTGATGAGGAGGCACTGGTAGGTGGCACTGATAGGCATTGATGGGCACTGAAAGGCAGCACTCATATATGGCACTGATAGGCGGCACTAACTGGCACTGATAGGCGGCACTGACTGGCACTGATAGGCGGCACTGATGTGCACTGATAGGTGGCACTGATTGGCAGCACTGATAGGTGGCACTGACTGGCATTGATAGGTGGCACTGACTGGCACAGATAGGTGACACTGAAAGGCAGCTCAGATGGGCACTGATATGTGGCATTGATGTGCCCTGGTAGGTACTGATATGTGGCATTGATGTGGCACTGATGGGCACTGACAACTGGCATTGATGGACACTGACAGGTGGCACTGCTGGGGCTACACAGATCATCAGGGCACACTGATCATCAGTGCTCTGATGATCTGTGTACATGTCCTCTCCGAGGAATGCCGATTACCGGCTCTCCTGTCCTATCGAGCCGTCAGCGTGACAGCTCGTGAGGAGAGAAATGCTGATAACCGGCATTTCCCTATATACATGAGATCAGCTGTGACTGGACATAGCTGATCACATGACCGAGCTGAAATCTTCGGCTCTTTCCGGTGATTGTTGATCTGCTGTGACCGAGGGACACAGAGCAGCGCCAAATCGCCACGCTGCGCGCTCCCGGAGCCACTCATGCGCGGTTAGAATGGGAGGACGTAATATGACGTCCTCCCAGAATGAGAGAACCACCTTGCGCCCATCATTGCACTATATGGCGGGGTGGGAGGTGGTTAAGGACTGTAGAATGCAAATTTTGTCCTTTTGTTTTGCATATTGTCAGTTTTTGTATGTGAATTGCTTCGGTTCATACCAGTGGTACACTGTTATGCAAATAGCAGCTTTTACTAGGTCTTACTGTCTACCTGGCTTGTGATTGGCCAGTTAGTGCCAGGTGTATTCTGGGGCTCATGCTGTCTGCAATGTCTGCTGTTGCTATTAAACAGTTATGCACAATCCACACGTATATTAAAAATTAGGAATTGAAAACGAGTATTTCCTCTGCCCCTGCACTCTCTTCCTGAGTTGCTGGAGCAGAACACAATGGCTTTAGCTGCTTTGCAATTAAAAGCAAGTCTGGAGCATGGATATCTGAATGTGACCTTTTTTTATTGTCATAAATGCCGTTTGCTGTCATGTTAGTAAGTACACAATGTAAAGAACATCACCAACCTAGCAGTGAACAGCACTTTTGATGGAAAACTGCCCATGCCTGGACTGGCTTCAGAACTGGATGAATCCGTCCAGGCTGCATATAGATCCAACAGTGACGGTATAGTAGTGGTGCGGGTGTGACTTAGGAGTGGCATTGGCATAGGAGCAGCAGACAGGTAAGTAACCACTGACACCAATGATCTCAGCTTATTGCAACTGAGAGTACAGCTTGGCTCTGCCCTCGCTCCCTCCTGACTGGCTGTGATTGACAGCCAATGGCTCCTGCTGCTGTGTCTCAACCAATGAGAAGATGAAGACCCAGGAGAGCCGCTGCTCTTGTGTACATTGCTGGATTGAGAACGGGTTCAGGTAAGCATAAAGTGGGGCTGAGGGGGGAGCTGCACACTGAAGGTTTTATGCAGTCTATGCATGGAGGCAAAAAACCTTCAGCCTTTAGAACCACTTTAAGTCTTTGAAATTTCACAAGGTGAATGTTTATACTGATGTCACCAGCTGGGGCTTTCTTCATTCTCACTTTATGGCATCAATGTCATTCTTTACTGCTGCTCAGGCCTTTCAGCACTTCTCCTTACCCATTCTGTAGTGCTCCCTGGTCTTCCATATGCTTCGCTGGCCCCCATGATGGATGCCCAGCCCCCTCTGTTAACTAGGGACTACTTTCTGCTGCACTCTACTAAGAAACCGCTACATGCTTGAATGATTGCAAGGTTATGAGGATAAAATAAATGGTGTGAATGTATGGATTTTCATACAGCTGCCATACTGCCATGCTTACTGCATAGATTTGGAAGGTAACAGGTGGATACTTGATATCTATTTCTTTATATCCTCGGCAGGTTGAAGAATATGTCACACCGGAAAAGTTTAAATACTGGGAAGAAGTAGGGAACAAATTAGGATTCCTTTATACAGCCAGTGGACCTCTGGTTCGATCATCCTATAAAGCAGGTATGCCCAGTGGTGCTGTTGAAGTGACCATACTTGCCATGATTTTAGTCAGATTGCGGCTTAATCAGGCAAATTTGAGCCATGGGTGGCTTTTCAATTTAAAAACTGACTGAGCTGGGTAGAAAATTCTTGGACAATCTGATAGGATGGAGTCACTGTTGGCGTATTCAGGCAGCTGCTGGTGCTGTATTTATGCTGATTTTGGGAGAAATCTAAGGCCTTATGCACACAGGGCGCCTGTTTAGTCCTCTGAACTCCAGAACTGGCAGGAAAAAAATGCCTAAAAAAATGTGTGTAAAGCAGCGTATTACATATGCATGTAGGTGCATGAAGCTCTTGAGCGTTAATGGATTCTATTGGCAATATTAATTTATCCTGACCATTAGAATTAATTAATGTTCAAATGCGCCTGAACACATCTAGTGTTTAGTGTACCTGTAAATTCCATATCGTACAGTACATGACACAGGTCCCTACTGCTTGCTAAAAAATAGACTCATAAAGTTTTATGGATACACTTGGTGGGGGAAGGGAGGACGGGCAGTCCCAGTCAAAGTCCCTGCCCCTGTAAAGCTTTTGCTAGTGCCCCAATCACCTGAGGGTACTCCAAAATATGGAATTTTAGGTACTCCTTAGATTGTAAGCTCCAAGGAGCAGGGCCCTCCTAATCCTCTTGTATTGAACTGTATTGTTGCTGTATTGTCTCCCTTTATATTGTAAAGTGCTGAGCAAACTGTTGGAGCTGTATAAGTCCTGTATAATAATGTCAAAATTCATTTTCTATTGTAGTTTACTAGACTTGGATATGCTGGCTGCATTAGTTTTCTTTATTAGGTTTGTTTTTTTTTATGTTATTTTTCAACTTTCTTAAACAGATCAGGCTGTCCAGCAATAGTGGCAGTTATAGGGTTGGGACAACAATTTACAACTGGCAGGGGTGCTTACAATGGTCAGCTTTTATTCATTTATGTAAAACCATTATCCCAATAATAAAAAAAAAAATGTTGCTATAACTTCCTAAAAAATTATAGCTAGAGGTTGGCTTTAATTTGTTAGATGCACTAGCAGATTTAAATGAATTTGACTAACCCTACCCTCTTCCTGGATTAACAATGCTTCTGTCAAATGTGTCTCCATTGCTCCTCCATCCAGAGTGGAGACACCCCAAGACTGTAAGTGTGTTAATGTCTGAACCACCACGTTAAAAAAAGAATATAAAAAAGAAAACTCATGCAGCCATGACACTAAAGGATTGGCAAGCTGACATATATGATTTTTGCTTTTGAGTTTAATACCACTTTAAGCTCGGGGACCTCATATTTTTTTTTGTCAGTGGAAGGGCAATGCTGTATCACAAACTAACCTTTATTTTATTCATTAGGTGAATTCTTTTTGAAGAATTTGGTGGAGAAAAGGAAGACAAAAGTTGCCTAAAGGATACAGTTCTATTTTGTATGAACTATTGTACTCAACAACCAGAATCGTGCTGTAGAAATGATGATATTCGGGGAAGATTTAGAAGGCCGAGGAGAATGAATATGATGGATGTACGTCTTATTTAGCAAGGGATTTGTGATGATTTTCATTGATTTTGCAACTCTTCCACCCAAATGCCTGCAAACCTTTCTGCAAACATTTGTAATAAATGGAGCACAGTGCTTGTAAAATGCCCTGCTTCATACAACCGTCCATCTGATCAAAGGAAGGTTGTGCAGTACTATAGTGACCACTGGAGCCGGGAGGAGGGAAACACAAGACCAGATATATATATATATAAATGCATTTTCCAGAGTAAATGCACAGTCATTACCTGAATATGTCTTTTTAAACCCTGCCTTCTTCTATAATCTGGTGTTACGGATACGTGGACTGTAAACTCACATGCAGAATTAATGGCTAATTTTTAATGGAAATAGTAGAAATGTGTTATGGGAATCATTCAATAGCCTCAAGCAAGAATCTTGCAATTGGGAGACATTTTGACAGTTTGTATGGAACATATTGCCTTGTTCCATATGTGGTGCACAGTACTGCTTTTGCTATACAGCCTCTGCAACCAAGTGAGTATAAACCCAGAGTCACTATAGAGATCTTTTGACTGTGTGCTGTGTACTGCTGTACCAAACACGCAGGCTAAGCTCCAGCCTAAATCCACCCAGAATTACATGCCCAAGTAGCAGCTGATGTATTCTTAACCCCTTCCCGCCGGCGCCTCCTGGCCCTTTAAGAGTTTCAGAAGGCGGCGTTTAGGGATCATGTGACCGCCGTGACGTGTCATCATGGCGGTCACATGATCGGGAAAGGTCCCGATCGAAAGAGCAGACCGGGACCTTTCCGTGAGTACCGGACAGGTGTGCTGGGAGCGCGCGGGGTACGTGCTCTCAGCACATGTTTTTTGTTAATTGCATGCAAATGTGCGGCCGCTCGGCGTCTAGGCCCAGACGCCGGGAGGCCTCACATTTGTGTGCGGCCGGCGTGAAGAGGTTAATTTCCCAACAGCAGGAGAGCTGCAAGTAAATTGATTTCCTTTTAAGTACATGGTGTGAACATATTCTCTGTGACTAATAGTATGTTTGCAACTGACAAGACTTTAAACAATATAGAACATTGAATTGACGCATCCTGAATGCTCTGTATTTTATTTTTTCTAACAATTAATAGTAAAGGTCAAAAACAGATTTCTTTATCGCACATCACAGGACACAGAGCAGGCTATTCATGACTGTGGGTTATAGGCTACCTATAGGTGAATGAACACTGGCTGACCAATCACAGAGGAGGCCCCCCTCTATATAACCCCTCCCATACAGGAAGTACCTGAGTTATGCTCTTGGAGCATACCTGAAAGGCCAGAACGGTTCCATTAGAGAATCAGGGACTTTAATTGGATCCATTCGGAAGGCTATGAGTTAAATGGATGCTATCCGAGCCTCACTGGAAAAGGAGAAGAATCTTCAAGGTTTTGTCTGTAATGCAGCCTTACAGCGCTGGACCCCGTGCAGATGGAACCCTGTGCTGTTTTAAATCTGACCAAGGCGCTTCCAGCGGGGTACTATATGGGTCCAAGGCAGTAGCTCCTCAGCATGGGGACTGAGTCCTTGAAGGTCTGTATGACAATGCCCGCAGTGATGGGTGAAAGTTGGTGTTCCGTCAAGGGACCTGTGGCTGGACTGGTAAGATATCTCCTTTTTTTTTTTCTCTCTGTAAAGAGAAACAAACAAAAGATCTAAATTGGATAGAAAAGGAGAGGTGTTGTGACTGTGAGTTTACAACAGCGGGTGTGCTCAATGTTGTTCCCGAGATGTGCTTGCTGTTTTTGTTTTCGGCCACGGAAACGGAAGTTGGGCGTATTTTTGTTTATCAGGCGGCCCTGGACACATATGGGCTGCTGCTGCTGAGAATCCCTGTGGCCGGGACATGGAGCGGGCTATTCAGTAGGGGCACGTGTGAGTAGTCCCTTGAGGGGGAGGCGTGGACCAGTCAGTCAGGAGCTGCCCTTGGTGGCTCATAAGGCAGCATTTGCATTGAGTGTTTTTTCAGCACACTACTTGCATAGCTGTATCATTGTGATCTGTGTTACTAGTGGAGATGCACAGGTTTGCTCTATCTGAAGTAATGTCAGAAAGCGGAGTGGGGGAGGTGCAGCAGGAAAGGGCACTAATGTACCACTGCCAGGTCCTGAGGAAACTAGGCGAAGGTCCGCTGAAATATCCTCTCCTGCCAGGCCAGAAGCGACTGGGCAGTCCTGAGCCGCTGTGTCTGTCTGGTGTTGTGGCCACTACAGTGGCTTCTGCCTCAGCATATGTAACCAAGGATGATTTTGCTTCAGCCTTAGCGGGTTTAGAAGATAAGATCGCTGGGATGATTGCATCAGTTTCCCAGGGGACTATTATTTATTATTTATTTATTTCAGGTACTTGTATAGCGCAGTCAATTTACACAGCGCTTTACATTATACATTCACATCAGTCCCTAACCCTCAAGAGGCGTACAGTCTAGGGTCCCTAACTTACATACATACATACACATACTAGGGCCAATTTAGACAGAATCCAATTAACCTTCCAGCATGTCTTTGGAGTGTGGGAGGAAACCGGAGTACCTGGAGGACTAAAGCGGCATAGATCCCTGTCACTAGAACCACTAATCCTGGAGCAGGAATGGGTGGAGCCTGAGGATGAAGAAGAGCTGGAGGAAGGTCAGGCAGTAGAATTTCTGTCTGAGGAGTCACAGCCTGAGGAGAAGCAGGAGGTCTCTGCCTCTCAGTCTCAGAGATTTTTAGTCCTAGACCTCACTGATATAGTACGGTCTGTATTCAGGCTACCTCTGATAGAAACTTCTGAGGTTACTTATTCTTCCCTGGGCTCTTTGAAGCCTTCACAGAGTACTCAGGCCTTTTCGGGTGCATCCTCTTCTGGAGAAAATTGTGTATGCTGGCTGGGAGCACCCAAAGAGGTTTTCTGTTTTGTACCCCATGGAACAAATGTTTGTTAAGAAATGGGGTTAGCCTGTAGTGGATGCAGCTGTTTCATCCCTGAATAAATCTTTAACATATCCTACGGATACTATATAGGTTTTCAAGGACCGAGCAGATAAGAAGCTGGAGTCTCTCCTTAAGGCCTCCTTCTCCCAGGCAGGGTCTGCCACACAGCCAGCTATTGGCATTTGCCATAGTCTCTTTGATTGGGTCAAGCAACGGACTGGAAGACCATCAGTGCAGGGGGAAGGCTCGGCCGAGGGTTTGTAGGATGTTTCTCGTGCTTTGCGTTTCATGATAGATGCTCTTAAAGATTCATTTCAGCAAATTTCTCGCTTGGCCCTCTTATCAGTGCACATGCACAGGGTTTTGTGGCTGAAGAGTTGGTCAGCAGTACTGCCATGCAAAAAATTGTTGGCAGGTTTTCCCTTTCATGGGGAACGGTTGTTTGGGGAAGATTTGGACAAATATATCCAAAAGATTTCAGGGGGTAAAAGTACTCCTCTATCCTCTAAGAGGAAATCCAAACGCCCTTCTTTTAAGGTGTCAGGGGCTTTGGTTGCTGGGTCCTCATCTACCAGGCAGTTGTTTCACCACACACAGGTCCCAGCCTCCAGAGGTAGATCTCAGACAACTTTTGCACCCAGAGCCTCTTTTGGTTTTGATTCTAAGACAGATCGAAAGTCTGCCTCCTTATGAAGGAGCGCCCCCACTTGTTCGGGTGGGGGAGAAGACTTTTAAATTTTGTGGAGGGCTCTAATACAAAACAAATGGGTCATTTCCACGATTTCTCTGGGGTACAGACTAGAATTGTGGGTATTTCCCTCTCCTTGGTTTCTAAAATCAAATGTACCAATGAATCCAGAGAAAAGAAGAATGTTATTTCAGGCACTCGATTGCCTATTGGCTCAAGGAGTAACCAGCGGGTGAAAGGTTATAGGGGTTTTATTCAAACCTGTTTACAGTCCCAAAACCAAATGGGGATGTAAGGCCCATTTTGGCTAAATCAATTCCTAATGTGTCTGAATCTTTCGCATGGAATTGGTTCGGTCAGTAGTGGCCTTCCTACAGGAGGGAGGTTTTGTTGGTGTCCATAAACATCAAGGACACAAACCTGCATGTACCGATATTCTTTCCTCACCAAAGATTTCTGCGGTTTGCTGTAGGGGCTCAGCATTTCCAGTTCATAGCACTAACGTTTGGGCTGGCCACGCTCTCAGAGTTTTCTCAAAAATTCTTGCTCCGGTTTTGGGGCTACTCAGAACTCGGGGATAATCACAGGTTCACAGGTTATCTAGATGATCAGGATGTGGTCCTTACGATGCAGATGCTGGAACAGCTGGGCTGGGTGCTCAACCTTAAGAAGTCATCCCTGGAACCAGTACAGAGCCTGGAGTATTTGGGGATGGTTCTAGACACAGTTCAGGAAAAGGCATTTCTGCCTCCAGGGAAGCGTTGCGCCCTGAGGAACGAAGTTTGCAGTTTGAAGGCCAAGAGGTAACCTTCAATTCACCTCTGTATGGTGGCCTCATTCGAGGATATTCCCTATGTTCAATTCCACTCCAGACTGCTTCAAAGGTGCATTCTGTCTGTTTGAGGCATAAAGATTCTGGCCCTGGATTACTACATGTCTTTGTCTCCAGAGGTGCAGCAGAGCCTGAATTGGTGGTTGATAACTCTCACAATTTGGAGAAGAGAAGATCTGTTCGGCCAGTGGTGTGGAAGTTGGTAACCACCGATGCAAGCCTTTCAGATTGGGGGATTGTTCTGGAGGAGGCCACAGTTTAGGGAACATGGTTTCCATGAGAAAGAGTTCTTCCCATCAATGTCCTGGAACTTTGAGTATTGACGCTGGCTATGAGATATTGGACATCCAGGCTTCAGGTTTGGCCTGTAAGGATTCAGTCCGATAATGCCACAGCAGTCGCATACATCAACCACCAGGGCGGTACCAGTA